ACTGAAGTCCAAATGGATCAAAGACCTCAACATAAATCCAGTCACACTGAACCTCTTAGAAGAGAAAGTAGGAGGTAACCTTGAACAAATTTGTACAGTAGACCGCTTCCTGAACATAACTCCAGTAGCACAGACACTGAGATTGACAATTAAAAATAGGACCTCCTCAAACTGAGAACTTTCTGTAAGGCAAAGGACATGGTTGACAAGACCAAACAGTAGCCATCAAACTGGGAAAAGAGATTCACCAACCCTACATCTGACAGAGGGCTGATCTCCAAAATATGCAAGGAACTCAAGAAACTAGTCAACAAAACACCAAATAACCCTATTTAAAAAATGGGATACAAAACTGAAGACAGAATTCTCAATAGAGGAAACCAAAAAGACTGAAAGACACTTAAGAAAGTGTTCAACATCCTAAGCTATCATGGAAATACAAATCAAAACAACTCTAAGATACCATCTTACTTCTGCCAGAAGCTAAAATTAGAAAAACCAATGGCAACTTATGCTGGAGAGGTTGTGGAGAAAGGGGAACATTCCTCTACTGCTCGTGTGAGTGTAAACTTGTACAGCCATTTTGGAGATCAATATGGTGGTTCCTCAGGAAAATGGAAATCAGTCTACCACAGGACCCAGCAATCCCACTCTTAGGCATATACCCAAATGACCTACATCCATGCAACAAAGAAGATCTGTTCAACTATGTCCGTAGCCGCATTATTTGTAATAGCAAGAATCTGGAAGCAACCTAGATGCCCCTCAACTGAAGAATGGATAAAGAAGATGTGGCACATTTACACAATGGAATACTACTCTGTGGGGGAAAAATGGAATCTTGAAATTCGCAGGTAAATGGATAGAATTTGAAGAAACCATCCTGAATGAGGTAACCCAGTCACAAAAGGAGGAACATGGTATGTACTCACTCATATATGGATTTTACACATAGAGCAAAGGATCAACCAGCCTATAATTCACACTGCCAGAGAAACTAGGGTACAAGGAGGAATCTAAGAAATTCATACAAGGTCCCTCACAGAAGGGGAAAGGAACAAGATCTTCTGAGCATATTGGGAGTGGGGGGCGGGGTAGTGAGTGGAGGGGGATCTAGGAGAAAGAGAGGGGAGGAGAGGAAAGCACATAGGACTAGAAAGATTGTGTTAGGGGTGGAATAGATGAGAGAGAGAGAGAGAGCATAAAAGAGGGAGCCATTATAGGTTTGAAGAGAAAACTGACTCTAGAGAAATGTCCAGAGACCTACAAGACTGACCCCAACTATCAATTTGAGCAACAGTGGGAAGGCTACCATAAATGCCCTTACCTGATAATGAGATTGATGACTAACTTATCCACCATCATAGAGCCCTCATCCAGTAGCTGATAGAAATAGAAGCAGACACCCACAGCTAAACACTGAGCTGAACTGGAATCCAGATACAGAGAGGGAGGCTAAGACCAGGCTACAGAAATCCACAGAGACAGCTGACCTGAACAAGGAGGAGCTAACCACTCCTCAGACTGATAGTTGGGAAACCAGCATTGGACTGACTTGGAACCCCTGAACATGGGGCTCAGTTAGAAGGCCTGGGCAGTCTAAGGGACCTCTGGCAGTGGAACCAGGATGTATCCTTGGTGCACAAAAGGACTTTGGAAGCACATTCCCCATGGAGGGATACTCCCTTAACCTAGAGGCAGGAGGGAGGGCCTAGTCCCTACTCCAAATGTCTTGACAGATTTTGTTGACTCCTCCTAGAAGGCATTACCTTCCCTGTGGAGTGTGTGTGTAGGGGGGCAATAGGATGGGAGGAAGGGTATGGGAGAAAGGAGAGAGGGAGGGAGGGAGAGGGAACTAAGATCAATATGTAAAATAAGAAAAAAAATAAATGAAAAAAATAAAAAAAAAGAAGACAAAGAAAATAATGTCTGACAACTGAAAAAAAAAAAAAAAAACAGCAACAAACTTAAGTGTGGTGGTTTGAATAAGAGTGGTTCCCATAGGCTCATATATTTGAATGCTTAGACACCTATTAATGCTTAGACAGTATTTGAAAGGATCAGGAGGTGTGGCTTTGTTGGAGGAAGTGTGTGACTGGGGGTGGGCTTTGAGATTTCAATAGCCCATGCAAGGTCTATACTCACTCACTCTCTTCTTCCTCCATCAGGATTTAGCTCTCAGTTACTACTACTCCAGCACCTGCCTGCATGCCACTGTGCTCTTGGTCATGATGATAATAGACTAACCCTCTTGAAATTGTTAAGTGTGCCTGCTAACTTTATGTCAACTTGACCCAGGCTAGAATCATCTGAGGGGAGTCAATTGAGAAAATGCCTCCATAAGACTGGGCTATAGGCAAGCAAGCCTGTAGGACATTTTCTTAATTAATGATTGATGGGGGAGGACCCAGCCCATTGTGTGTGGGGCCATCCCTGGGCTGGTGGTCCTGGGTTGTGTAAGCAGACTGAGCAAGCCAGTGAGCAGCATCCCTCCGTGGTCTCTGCATCAGCTCCTCCTCCAGGTTCCTGCCCTGACTTCCTCCGATGATGTGGGAGCATAAACTGAGTAAGCTTTCCTCCCCTAGTTGCTCTGGTCATGGTGTGTCATCACAGCAATAGTTACCCTGACTAAGACAGTGAGCCCCAATTAAATGCTTCCTTTTATAAGTTGCCTTGGTCATGGTGTCTCTTCACAGCAATAGAACAGTGACTAAGACAGAAGTTGGTACCAGGGACAAGGGGATTGCTGTCACAGACCTGACTATGGTGTTTTTTGGAGGAATATGGAAGACTTTGGGAATTTGGAGAGGAAAGCCATTGAACGTTTTAGGTGGGGTTTCATGAGCCATCCTAGGAGGATCATGGAAGACAGTGCTAAGGGCAATTTGGACTGTGGGAGGCAACTTAAGAAGTTTCAGAGGGGAAGAATAAATAGGCTAGCAACCTTTCTTGTTCTAATTTGACAAATAATGTGGCTGCTTTTTGCCCTCACTGCAGTGTCCACAAGACTCTCTTCCTTGCTTGAGTCGTATCAGTGTCCATCATTGCTGACTATGATGTGGAAAAGCATCACCTGTGATTTATTTTGGTAGTGAAACTACCTTTTCCCCAAGCTGCCTGAGCACCAGTGTCATAGGAACCAGGTCACCAGACAAGCACAAGAAAAAAAAAAAAAAAAAAAACCAGGTATAGCAGTGAGGATGTGACCACAAACATGAACACTACAAAACAGCTGGTTGAGAAATACAGGCAAATGAGAAATAGAGCACATTTCCTTAGGACAGTCTCCTTCACAGCTGTGGTCATACTGCTAGCAACAGGAGCCTGCAAAGCTGCCTGTTCCCTTTAACAGGTACATCAGCATTCGCAGGAGACTCTATCGGACATACCAACTTAACTAGCAGTCAAACCATTCAAAAACAAAAGTGGGATGGAGAGATGGCTCAGTTATTTAGTGCTCAGGGTTCTTGCAACATCCACACTGGGTGACTCACAACTGCCTGTAACTCCAACTCCAGGTGAATCCAATGCCCTCTTCTAGCCTCTGCAGGCACCACACTCATGTGCACATCCCCTATACACATATAGCTAAAAATTAAAGTCTTAAAAAACCCAAACCACACTGTTTTGTTTTAATAAATGTTTATTTAGCACTTGCTAAGTACAGGCCATGCATTTGGTACCATGAAGACGCAGAAGAATGTGTAATTCTTGTCATCAATATCACAATAACAAGGAAAATAACCATCACATGAGGCAGAAGCAATTAATGCCACAAGATAAATATCAACATTTGAGAACCCTGAAAAAGATACCAGCTCTGGATGAGAACAGGATTAGAGGTGGTGCTTCCACAATGGAGTATTTTAAATGCCAGATCAAATCTCTTCACGAGAAATGAAGAGGAAGATGAAAATCAGGAGGGAGGGAGGGCTGCAGCTATGTGACAACAAGCAAGGCTGTGCAGGAGGTGGGAAAACATCGGAGGGTTCTGGAATCAAACGAAGAGGGTTTACCAGGCAGAGATGTCCCAGGCACAATCGCCTGGACAAGACGGTGGTTTGATCCAACTCTGCTTTATCAAGTGGAATCTGGCAGCATTGGACCAGTTCCAGATGGAGGCAAGCATCTAGATTAGAACAGTGGTCACAACAGTGAGAATGAAGCAGGCAGAGCGGGAGATGGAGACAGAACTGAGACTTAGCAATGATTAAATATGTATTTTAAAAATGGCAGTGTGTAGGGGGGGGGGGGAGACTCAAATGCCATACATGAATGAGCAGTAATTGAAATGTTCCCAGGTCATGGCAGAAGAGCAGCCTAAAGTACAAGTCCATAAGTATGCAACACTCATGGAAAATCCCCAGGAGGGAATTACAAGCACAGCACATAAGAGCTATCTTCGCACCTGCACCTCTAGCAAACTGCACGACCATTGGATTTGTTTCAATGGAATTGTAAACGGTTTTGCTACTATTCCTTTCCTGGGTTTTCTGTATGCTTACAGTGAAGATTGCAGAGAGGCTGCTGACAGACCCCACCTTATCACATCTAAACACTGGGGAGACCTGATGGAGCACCTCATCTTTCCTTCCACAGATGAGGGAACCAAAGCGCTGACAGCCAGGGGATTGCCATGTCCCTTACACAGGAGGCCGCTCAGGAGGACTCACAGCGAGCAGATGCTCTTCCTTCCATGGCTACATCTCTGGGTGCCTAGAGATGCCTAGGTACCATCCAGAGACATGCCAGTACAGACAGACAGACAGCAGTAAATAGTAATGTGGGAGGGTAGGTAAAGCCACAAGAGTGGATGACAATAATAAATCTATATTTCAGTTTTTTTTTTTAGGTGGAGAAGGAAGCCAGTAGCTTTGGATAATGCATTTTGTGGGCCCATCAAAGCCCTTAAAATTGGAAAGAATAACTACTTTGGCTTTCTAGAAACATCAAAGTGCGTGCTATTAAAAAAAAAAAAATCAGACAACATTATGACACAGTCCGTTCAAAAAGCTTTATGTAAGTCTCACAACAGAAACCACAATATCTTTGTTGGCATGCATAGGCACATGGGAAGTCAGTTCTCAGGAAATTAGAATCTGTCCTTCAATTATTTGGGGTTTTCTTGTGTTCTTGTTGTTGGCTTGATTGTCGTGCCAGGGATCAAACTGTCCAAGCTAGGAAATCACTCTACCTCTGAATCAAACCTTGGCCTCCATTGCAGAGGCAAAATGTCCATGGTAAACTCCCTCCAGGGAGATTTCTACATATGTCCCAAATAGAGTAATTTCATAGAAAATGAAGAAAAGGGAGAACATAACATTTCAAATGTAAATGTGTAAGAAAAAACATACAGGCAGCTTTCTGACATTTAAGCAAATTGGTGTGGACACAGCATCTGGAAGTACATCCCTTTTGTGAGAGAGGTTTCCCTTTAAAAGGCTGTTACATCCTGCTCCCAAAACATCCAGCAATTACATGTCAGTGAGTGCTGTCAGATTTTCCAAAAAATCTTCTTCTTATAGAGAATGTATGCGATGAGCACCCAGAGAGCAGTGGCAACTATGTTCTGGATTAGGTGTTCTTTGTGTGACTGGTCATCCTCCAGCTTCCACCGGAAGGGGAAGTAGTTCTCAAACACCTCGTGACCAACATACACCAGAATAGAATTCATCCCTTAGAGAGATCAGACATGTTTGTTTCCAGATCATTCATAGAGTTCTCGAAATGAACTCAATACAAAACGTAAAGCACGTACTTGCATTATCACCCACAGCCCTAAATCAGTGATGCATAGCTTAGCAATGTAAGTGTTAAGTGTGCTTCTATACCCTGAGGAATCAGGAGCATCGAGGCGGCTCAGCAGTACAGGTATTTGCCACCAAGCCCGATGAGCTCAGTTCTACCCTAGGAGCCTTCAGGTGGAGAGACTTCCAAGTTGTACTTAGGCACACATACACCTGTGAGTGCACGCAAGCACATGGGTACACACGCACACACACACACTCGAGGAAAAACTTTAATCCCAGCACTAGAGGCAGGAACTCTGTGAATTCCAGGCCATCCTGGTCTACTGTGCCATTTTATATTGCCTGAAAAGAAGCAACGTTTATTTACTGAGTCTAGAAACCAAATTGTGAAAACAGGGTGCAGGGCTTTGGGACAGGCCAGTGACCTGTGAGGTGGGGCAGCACAGCTCCTGCTGGCTTTTTCTTCAGCTTACTTCCTGGACATGTGTCCCCAGGACAGTAGCTTCAGTTCTGAGCCAGTCTGCCCAGTCTCTCCCACCTGCTCTGAATGAATTACAGCTGACTTACCTGGGTAAAAGAACGGGGTTCCTGTCCACAGCCCCTTCACATCCACAACTGGGTACAGAATGAGCAGGATAAAGAATGCGAAGCAGCTCAGTGTGCTGGTGTACGAGATGGACCTACAGGGAGATGAATGAAGGAAGGCTTTTGCACTCCCAGGGACAGCCGGTTTCAACACAAGAACCAGCAGTATCGAGGCACCCTCCACCGTGCTTACCAGAGGTTTTTGTTTATTGGAATAAAGCCTTCATCTGCAGACATCTTCGTCAAAGCAATAGAAATAAGCCCCTATGAAGAAAGGAAAGTGTTAAAGATCTATACTATAGTCTCAAAACACACTGCATTGGAGACAAAAAATAGTTACTGATAGTGAGGACCAAAAATCACATCTTTGAGTTTGCTCTTTTTAGTTTAGGAACCTACTGTAAGATTTGTAACTAAAATATTACCCAAAACCATCTTGCAGTGTTCTCTGAGTCAGAGAAGGTAACTGACAAATCACACCTACTCCTAAGAGAATGTGACTCTGAAAGGCTGGGAATAAGAACAGACATCCAGGTACACCTCGTGTTCTTAACTGGGATGTTCCTGCCTTTAAAACTATCACTTGCCTGATTATTTTCACTGTTTTCTAAGTTTTTTTAAACAGAGTTTCTCTGTGTGTAGCCCTGGCTGTCCTAGAACTCACTCTGTAGACCAGGCTGGCCTCAAACTCAGTGACCCACCTGCCTCTGCCTCCCAAGTGCTGGGATCAAAGACATGCACCATCACCACCCAGCTAAATACCCCCCCCCTTTTTAAATGTGCATTGGTGTTATACCTTGCATGTATGTCTGTAAATGGAGTTCTTAATTGGTCTAGATAATAAAAAGCTAGAGTCAGATATAGAGGGAAATGCTGAGAACAGAGAGAAGGAGCAAACCACAGCACACCTTACCTCCTTAGCATCTCAGCAAAAGAGTTATTTCCTATTTCTCCCTGCTTATATCCTGTTTCTGCCCAGCTACCTCACTTCCTGTCTGTCTGTACAGACCTCCAGACCTCTATGGTTAGCTAGTGGCAAGCTCCAGTCTCTGACTCTCAGACAGGCTTTGTTTGTACAAGCAAGATATCACCACAAATGTCTGTGTAAGGATGTTGGACCCTGGAACTGGAATTACAGACAGTTGTGAACTGCCATGTGGGTGCTGGGAATTGAACCCATGTCCTTGGAAAGAGCAACCAGTGCTCTTAACCACTGAGCAGTCCCTCCAGCCCTTTTTAAAATTTTCTCTATTTCTGAGACAGGGTCTCATGTATTCCAGACTGGCCTCAAACTCAATATGTAGCCAAGGGTGATCTTGAGTCCTCTGCCTCCTCATGCTGGATTGCAGACCTGTGCCACCTACCCAGTCTTAATGGTGCTGGGGATGGGAATCAGGGTATCATGCATGCTAAGCCTACAACCCTATGCCTACCTAGTCTTCTTTCTGGTAAGGCTTCCACATAGAGTATCACTTACACATTTTCTCCAGCAGTCTTTATTGGAGAGTTTGATGGCAGACACTCTTATTTATAAAATATAGTTTTCTAAGAAAATAAGCCTGAGAATTTAGATACAAAGATATCTTCTTCCTTGGCACTAAGATTGTACCTTAGTGGTAGAGTGTATACTGGGCATGTACCAGACCCTGGGTTCCACACTCAGTAAAAAGAATGATTTTTTTTAAAGATGCTATTCTGTGAATCCTGTTATTCAAGAAAAACATCCATCATGCTGAGCCAGCAGCTGCTCCCATTTCTTCTTAATAAATACAAATCTTATGAACACAATGGGAGTGAGGAAGGCTGGTCACTTACAAGGATGCAGCACCAGGCAGCGAATCTCATCAGGATGGCTTTTGTCTGATCCTTATAATATAGTAGTATTTTTCCTGCCTGGAGAAGAAAACAATATGACCAAGACAGTCACCTAAGATGAACTCTGTTTCTTTTTCATCCATCAACTATCCAGTACATGGTGGTATTTGCTAAGTACAGGTTCTAGACACTGGGGATATAAGGAGGAATGCAACAGGACCCATGAGAAGGAGGCCAACATCATAGAGGCAGTGTTAAGTCTACAAGGTGGAGAGGGTCAGAGCAGGCAGGACATTCAGAGCAAAGGAGACAGCAAACACAGACATATGTTAAAGCACAGAAACACCATAGCATTTCTGTGTGCTGGGAGGTTGAGAGCGCAGTAACAGGGCAGGCAGGTGGCCCAGCAGGTCTTGCTTAGATCAGGGCTTTCTCCTAGAGGTGATGAGGAGCCCAGGAAAGTCACCCCTCGTCTGGGAAAAGGGGAACACCTTAATTGACAAACTGCTTAGGTCACACTGGCCTATAGATATGTTTAGATCACACTGGTCTGCAGACATGCTTAGATCACACTGGCCTGCAGACATGCTTAGATCACACTGCCCTGTAGACATGTTTAGATCACACTGGCCTGTAGACATGTTTAGATCACACTGGCCTGTAGACATGCTTAGATCACACTGGCCTGTAGACATGCTTAGATCACACTGGCCTGCAGACATGCTCAGATCACACTGGCCTGTAGACATGTTTAGATCACACTGGCCTGCAGACATGCTCAGATCACACTGGCCTATAGACATGCTTAGATTAGATCCCACTGGCCTGTAGACATGTTTAGATCACACTGGCCTGCAGACAGGTTTAGATCACAGACATGCAGACATGTCTGTGGGGATTGTCTTCATTGCTAGTTGACACAGAAGGGCCTGGCCCACTGTGGGTGGCACCATCCGTAGGCAGGGGAGCCTGGTTATATAAGAAAGCTAGCTAAGCATGAGCCTGCGGGTTAGGCAGCAGGTAGCATTGCTCTGTAGTTTTTGTTTTAAGTCCCTTCTTGAGTCCCTACCCTGACTTCCCTCCATGATGGACCTGTAAGTGAAATAAGCCCTTTCCTCCCTAAAGGGCTTTTGGACAGACAGTGTTTTATCACATTAACAGAAAGGAAACCAAAACTAATGGCCATCAAGGTGACAGGAGGCCAGCTCAGACTGCCTATATTGTCCGGTCTGTGGCATTACCCAAGATGTATAGGAGCAAAAGGGAGCTGGAACCTCAGACGGGACACTGCCTAAACTCTCTCTGAAACTAGAGTCAAACCTTGAAAGTATCAAAGGAGGTAATAGCTAAAAATGTACAAGCATTCCCTATGTGCCAGTTCTTGGGGTGTTCGTTGTAACATCCCTGTGATGTAGGCACTGGTGACATACCAAGAGGTCACCCAGCCTGTAAGGGGGAGAGCCAGGGTCAAACCTGGGCAGGGCAGCTCCTTTTCCCACACTATACCAACTGCTCTAGCAGGCTGGAGTTTGCTGAAAGTTGTTTGTAGAGAGTAGGTGCATGCATGTAAAAACAGGGACTCAAAGCGCCACAGAGATAGCGTTTCAACCCATTAATGTAAAGTTACTATAACCTCAAACTGTATATACTTTAGATCTGTTCCATTTAATAAGACTATCACTTAGCTATGTGTGACCACTCACATTTTAAAACAAGTAAAATTAAAAACAGGTTCATACAACAGCCATATTCTGTACTCCTCAGACTCTTTCAGTGTCTGCCCTGATGCTCTCTTCATCACACTACATTCTCTTGAGGCTGCTGGGCAAGCCTTTCCATTCTCCAGCTTGTTCCCCTCAAAGACTACATTCAAATGCTGGAAAAGAAAACTTTGGATAGAGAAATCAAGACTGCTCTGAATGATATCAAAAGTGCATACACCAAGAGGCAGCAGATTTGACTTGGGCATAATAGTTGTAATTTTTAAAAAGTGGTGCGAGAGAGAAAAAAATGCCACGCAACAGAGTTCAAGTGGAGGGTTTTTTTGTTTGTTTGTTTGTTTTGTTTTTTTAATTAGGGAAAAGAATCTTGAAAGGGGAAACGGGAAGGGGGAGACTGGCCTCCAGGGTAAAGAGGAGTGGGAGAGAGCAAAGAGAGGGAGAGGAGAGACAAAGGGAAAGAGAGAGGGAGAGAGAGTGAGAAAGAGAGGGGGGGGGGGTGGGCAGGCCAGTATAAATGCCTAAATACTAACACATAAGACATGCATGCTCTGAAGCCGCTCACACAGCTGGCTGTGGACAGAAGCCTGTCTTTCCAAAGTTCACGCAGGGCTTCTCATCCCCAGGTGATGGGACCGGAAGGTGGTCCTTCTGGACCAGTATGGAGCTCTGCCCTTAGGAATGTATGTTATGATCTTACAAGGGCTTGAGACGGCAAGTCCAGTACCCTTCTAAGTAAGCATCACATGTGGACTCCGTGCTCATCCCCTCTAGAGGATGCACTCTGGAAGAGACAGACCATTGCCAGAAAAAGAAGGAACCTGCCAGCACTTTGAACCTAGGCCTGAGAAACGATGGTCTGCTGTTTGTGAGTTAGCCAGCCTCAGGTGTTTTGTTGCATAAACCCATGAAGACAAGTATACAGGAAACAAACGGGACAAGTGATACGGTGACCTCTCCATGTTACCAATCTCTAAATACTCTGACAACTCCAGATAGAAAGCTTTTCATAGAGTCTGTTCTCATTTGTGCCACTCTGTTCTCAAACTTCCGTCCTCCTATCTCAGCCTTCCAAGTGCAGGGATTAGAAATGTGGCCATTGCTGGGCACTGGTAGCACACACCTTTAATCCTAGCACTGGGGAAGCAGAGGCAGACCAATCCCTGAGGAGTTAGGTTAGAGGCTAACCAGTGCAGCCAGGGATACACAGAGAAACCAAACAAACAAACAAACAAACAAATGTGGCCACTAATGCAACTCACTATTCACAAATTCCTGGGCTTAAAAAAAACACACAACTAGTAAGAATTTAGTTCCCAGAATGTAAAGATTCAGCCGGTCAGTTGAACTGCTGAGTTATCCCACCCTACTTTACATTTACCAGCAATGTGGGGCAGCAGATGGCCTCCTTCAACGACCTCATTACAGTGAGGTGATGTTTAGTTACATTGTTAGTAGTTGTCACAAACTGTCTGCAAAGGATGAAAGGAACAAGTACCTGAACTCCTAAAAATGCCATCACAATGGAGTTGATAGTCCCTAAGATTCCTTCTGGGTCATAGGCCACCTCGGTGTGATAAAGGACCTTAACAAAACAAAACAAAACAAAAAAAGAGGGTTCACTCGCTGAATACAAAAATGCACACAACTCTCAGATGGAATGCAAACTTGAAGACATTTCAATTGCTGATGCTTTTGGCTAGTTTCCTTTCCTTCCTTCTTTTCTCCTTTCCCTTTTTTGCTTTTACAGCAGAAATTCATGGGCAATTTATAGGCATCATAGGCAAAGTAAGCCATGATCCTACTCAGCCACCTTAGCAAGCCAGGCAAGGCCTGTTAAATATGCATTTAACAACATGCAAATGCCTAACAGGAGGAGAATTGCAAGCTCATTCTGTTTTAGTGACCCCACTGAGCTTCAACAGCTCCTATTTTTCAGGAAACTAACATTTAATAATACAGTTGGGAAGGAGGAGTGGCCCAGGGAACAAGTGTTTGCTTAGTATTTAGAAGGCCCATGTTTTAATGTCTAACACTCCAAAAAATTAGTCAATTAAAATAATGAGACTCTAGAACTTGGAAATGTATAGTGTATCCTCAACCGTCCTAAGGCCTGAAAGATTCATCCCCAGCTATTAGAAATATCCGCTGCCCAAAGGGCTCAGTCAAGAACCTCATCCAAGGGCCCTTGACTAAAGACAGCTGCAGGGTGAGGGTACAGCTCACTAGACCCTGAGGTGGGGCCCAGCAACGTAAAACAAGAAAAAACAAAGTGTGGGAATTGGTCTGCCTTTCCAAACCACTCCTGTGCTGGGGACAGTCCATATCCAACAAGGAACACAAGGGACCCACCCCTCACCCAGTACAGAAGAGCTCTCAAATGTCACCTCAGCTCACAGATTAACCAGCCCTTAGGGGTCACATGCAGTTCAAGCCCCTCAGAAGCACTCCTCCCTGGAGCTAACCCAGTGGGAATGCCCCACATGCATCCTGCACTCTAGCTGTCTCAGAGCCTGGGGCTGGAGACCTGAGACCTAAAGAAAATGCCACTTGTTTTATAGAGTTCATTCTCTCTCCACAATCAAAAATACCTTTCCCTACCAACACAGTGAACACCTGTGGCATCAATGAAGCCAGTTTTCCAAATAACAATGGTTCACCGCACTGTCCTTAAAAGGTGTCAAACTGGCTCAATCTTCCTACCCAACAAAGGCAAGGCTCACACACCGTGGAGGATGGGTGCTGGTACAGATGATTGTCTCCCAGAAGTAGGTGGTCAATGTAGCCAGCTGCTCCTCCAGTACAACGAGGGTACTTCCCCAAGTCCCCAATGCCGCCAGGGCCAAGGTAGCCACTAAGAAGTGAAAAATATACTTAATTGACAGGACCGCAGAAGGGATAGTGCTAAACAGTGACTATCCATGGAGGACAGGTTCAAAGAGCCTCACATACAGAAGGCCATAACAACCCTGACCCCTGAACCCCTGTGACCAGACACAGCCCCATCACTGGAAAGCAGGTCCACTTTCCACACAGGGTGATGCTGAGTTACTCAACCCTCCTTTCCATGTAAAGAGAGTCTTAAAGAGTAGAAAGTGTGAAAGAGAATTCCCTGACTAGAGAAATTTCAATGCTATAGAACCTCACCTCTGACTCAGCAGAAAGGGATATGCAGAAAGGCACTACCACAGCTGGGGCAATAGCTCAGTCAGTAAAGTGTTTGCCTTGCAAGCCCCAGGGCCCAAGTTCAATGGCCAGAAGCCACCCACAGAACAAAAAGGGAAGGAAGGAAGGAAGGAAGGAAGGAAGGAAGGAAGGAAGGAAGGAAGGAAAGAAAAAAGTCAACCAATCTAATCATGCATTGGGGCTGGAGAGAGAGCTCAGTGGTTAAGAACTCAAGCTACTCTTCCAGAAGACCTGGGTTTGATTCCAAGAACCCACATGGTGGTTCCAGTTCTTGGGATCCAATACCTCCACAGATACTGTGTGCACATGGTATGCAGATAAACATGCAGGCAAAACACTCATACGCATAAAACACATTTTTTTATTAAAAAAAAAAAAAAAAAAAAAAAAAAAAAAGGCCATGCATGGTGACACTAACTTGTAATACAGCCCTGGAGAGGTAGGGACAGGTGGGGCCTTGGGGTTCACAGGCCAGCCTACTTGGCAAACTCTACATCACAACAACAAAAAGGATGGACAGCTGAGGAATAACACCTGTCCTCTAGCCTTTAGGCGCACATGCACACACATGCACCCACACACACACAGGGGGATTACCTGGCCAGGGGTCACTTACGTAGGGCACCCAGGGACAGGTAAAAAGAATGTCAAAGCCAGCCAAATGCCTTCTAGTATCAGAATGATGAGCCACTGGGGCCAGCTGGAAGTGATGTCCTGAAGAGAAAGGCAGCTTCTCTCCTAATAAGAATGAGAGGTAGGAACAGTGCGCGTGAGGCAACAGAGAACCTGGCTGGGAGATGGTTCAGTTGGTAGCGTGAGGACTTCAATCCAAGTTCAAGCCCAGAACAGACACAAGAGGGCTGATGTGTGGCGTGGTCCTGTAATTCCATTGCAGTGTAGTGTAATTTACTACCCAGCAAGCCTGACCTACTTGGTTAGATCCAGACAGTGAGAGACTGTGACTAAAAAAGTGAACAACTCTTAATAAATGACCCCCAAGTCTGCCCCCCACCACATACACACATACGATTCTCACCAAGGTACAGCTGTCAGGGACAGGCTTTGAGAAGATGAGCTCCAACACAGCGACCACAAAGTACGTCACTCCCAACCGCTGCAGGACACCAGGGATCCGAACCTTATCCCAAGATACTGCCAAAGACACAAGACACCAAAGACTAAGCCAGCAGGACACATCTAACTCTAAGGCAGTGCTGTGTTCTGCAGGGAAGACACGCCTTTATCACTCATAAGTAAATTATACATGTGGACTGAGGACACGGCACCCAACCAACTTCACTCAGTCAGGAGACAAAGCAGAGACTCCCTGTGCACAGAATCTAGATATGGAGATAACCCTCGTCACCAGAAACAAGAACAAACCAAACTACTGTTTCACTACCTACAACAGGTTACAGGCTGTATCTTGGGGAGAAAACCTCTAGCAAACCCTGTAGTGGCTTTTCCAGAGGTTGGGAAGAACACTGAACACCTCGTGTAGAGTTCACCAAAATTATCTCTCTCTAACCCAGCGGTTCTCAACCTGGGTGCCAATCAACCCTTTCACAGGGATCACCTAAGATCATTGGAAAATACAGGTATTTACATTGTGATTCACAACAGTAGCAGAATTACAGTTATAAAGTAGCGATGAAATAATGTTATGGTCAGGGTTCACCACATGAGGAACTGTATTAAAGGGTGGCGGCATTAGGAAAGTTGAGAACCACTATCTAAGCTCTTAGGCTTCCAGTAAAGGCACTTACTCCCTGAGGGCTGGATTTAACTGGTGTATAAGTATCTGTTCTCCCCAGGACAGTTAACTGCATCAGGTAGCAAGCAAGGGGCTCATATCCTGTCTTCACCATAGGGTGTCACTGAAGAGGACAGAAGCAATGATAAGAGTTTCCTTTCCAGTAGCACAGCTGACACACAGGTGAGAACAGATTCTTAAACAAAGAGCCAGCACTAACAGTCCATGGGCCCAAAAGAGACAGAGTCTGAGCACAAAGTAACCTGGTCGTTTTCTCCTGTTTGTTAACACATGGACATGACCCAGAAACAACAGTTCAACCTCACTCAGCCTGACTTTTTTTTTAATCACAGGGATAGGAGTGGTCACAGAGGTGCCTTCCATTACTAAATTTCCAAGCTAAGTGTAACAGAACCCAACAGTATTCAAGCAGTGCACATACTCTTCTAATAATTTGTCCTTTGGGAGGGATTTGGGATGGAAGAATTACATTAGAGGCTTAGGGGCCAAAAGGTTGCCTAGTACGTGTAAGGGCCTGGGTTTGATCCCAAACACTGAATATATATTTATACATATATAGACATATTATATCACATAATATGTATCTACATATAATATTATATCTACATATGTATAGTTATGTATATATGTGTGTGGGGTGTGTATATAACATATAAAAACAAGTCTTTCCCATAGTTCAGCCTGACTCTATATAAACAAAGGACAGTTATACTTACATGGACCAAGGCAATAATTGGGGTTGACAACAATTATTCCTATACAGATTAACAGAAAACTTCTCCATGTAATTTTCCCCAGCAGTCTGAATTTTGAACATCCTCGTTGTAGGGTAGAAGTCATTGACAAGAAAATTGAAGACCCCATAATAAATACAAACCTAAAAAGAAAGGTTATTGGTTTATTGGTAGGTGGTCATTTCCAGTTTTTATACATGTACCCTTGATATCTTAAAGGAGAGAGGTGACACACTATCCACAGTAACCAGTTACTGAAACACGAACGCAGCCCTGCTGGTGGGAATTCTAGCAGAACATCTTCAAGTAGGAGGAAAACTGGCTAATAGTAAGCAGGATTTCCATGGATAACCTTGCAAGCATTTATCAGAGAGAAAGGATATGGACATTGGGACCCAAGGGGCTTGTGTTAACAAGGGGATCCAAGGGACTTGCGTTAACACACTGTCCAAGTCCTTCAGAAACAAAACATTCAAGCCTTTTTAAAACCCATTCCTTCTCCTGAAAGAAAAAAAAGCTTCTCTCTTTCTCTCTCTCTCATTTCATAGAAGTCACATATTTCTCTTTCCTTTCTTAAGCACACAAAGTCTCCCTTAAAAAAAGAAACACACACACACACACACACACACACACACACACACACACACACACACACACACACACACCATTGACTGTGAGCTGTCCACAGGCATTTGGTGGTGTCGTAAGAAATCATGAGGTCTTCTGGACACCAGGCCTACTTGGCCAGCACAGTGAGTGCTGCAGGGTGAAGCTAGAGGGCTGGAGCACCCTTGTTCCTGTCACGAGACGCTGCTTCCTGTTTTGCTGCCAAGTGTGAGCAAGCTGCCTCCTGCTCCCAATGCCACACAACCCTGAGCTAAATAAAGTAACTTCTCTAAGTTACTCCTGTGAGATATTTTGTCCCTTTGAGAAGAAAAGTTACAAATACACAGTATATTCTTCCTAGTTATTGGCTCAGTGTTAAGGAAATGCAGGCTTGCTCTGGCTGCATCCCAGAGTCCCCTGGCTTCCCTTCCAGGATTTAACTGTCTCACAGAGCAGTAATGGAGGAGCACAGACTATATGCTGAAGTCATTACCAGAGCAAACAATGCTTGCTCTATCCAAATCCTCTCAAAACAACAAATACTTCTCCCCAAACCTTGAATCTATGGTAGTAATACAATGCCAGTGTCCCAACACAGGAAATATTCTCCTGGAACCATTTCCAGAGATGGGGTACTCAGGTGGCTCCAAGCATCTCGGTAAACACAAGCGGTACATCATAAGGGAAACATGCCATGACAAGACCAAGCATCCACTAGGGAGATTTTTTTTTTTTACTCTACAACCATATTAGGCTTTAATTTACAACTGTCATTTCCTACTAGATACTCATCCATATTCACAGATACTGGTTTACTGTACTTACTATTTAAGAAATATGATTTATACATATTTAGGAAATTAATGGAACTTGACTACAAATTCATAGTTTATGGTAGGATTTCAGCATCAAGTAAAGGATATCTATTCTAACAAGATGTTTTATACAAGACCACTAATCTTTGTAGTTGAGATTATGGCTTGGGGGCAGAGTACATGCTTAGCACATACAAGGTCCCAGTGTCAAGTCTCCAGCCCCATGCAGACACACACAAGTCAGACATCTTTTATGTATACATGCATAAACATGATGTTGAGTGTACAAACCACACAGTCACATAACCTATGGCAAGATTCACAACAGTAAGTTAAGGCTCACGATCCAGAATTGGTCAGAGCAGGGCTCCAGCCCTTCATAGACAAGGGGCAGGAGATGATCTGTGAAGGAGCCCATGACAGGCAGTGGCAATGCAATATTATAAAATGTCTCTTACATCCTAAAAGACTGGAACTCCTGCTGGACCTCACAGCTGAGTTAATAATACACCTTGAGGTCACTAAAGACTGCTGTCCTATGTGTACTCAGCCAATCTGTATAATCTACCTCTAAGAGGACAATATATCGGTCAACCCTACTCGCTTTGGATTTCCCATGGAATCACCCTTACAACCCAATCTAATGCATGGTTTTAATCTTCATAAATTATGTACTCCTCCATGCCTCTGGCTCAGATAATGTATGCATCTTATTTGCCAAAAGCAGCAAATACAGAAGTTGAAAGCAACTTCCTAAAATCTACCTTAAAAGGTTGAAAGCAACCAGTTATGGATATTGGTTGATAAACTATGTTGTTTGTTAACTGGGTCAGTTGAGATCAGCAGAGCCAGTGACTCAGCCCCTTATAGAACTCTACTAAAGGTTTTTGTAAAGTGTCCCATCCCTTTCCCATTAGTGCTCTCTACTGTTCAACAAATGCAGAGCAAAGCCCTCTGTTAGGGAGACACACAGCACCCACACACAGAATGTACAGCCATACAACATCAGACACAGCCTTCCAGCAGGCAGATTCACATCCAAGCAACAGACAGACAAAGAGATGGGAAGCAATGGAACAGGAGGTACAAATTTCAAGTCTGGACTCGCGTGTGGTTAAAGAACTCCAAGGGGAAGGGGAAGGGGAAGTGCTTTTCTCTTTCTGTTCTTATCACCAATGCATTGATGGTGACAGGAGTTAATCACTAACGTGTATAATCCCACAATATAGCAATCATCAGCTCACCATGGGAAGACTAGGTCGGCCACAGTCAGTCCTGCAAGATGATGAGAGAACATCAGTAAGAAAGAGGACTTTAGCATACAGATACTTCCCAGTTCTAAAATTTGTAGATTGCACTGCACATTTACACAGAAAGTACAACACACAGACAAAAGCCACATACAGCCACTGGGCCTGGGGCTGGGGAGGGTTCCCTGATCATAAACCATTGAGTTTGTGACCTTGTAGCAGTAGTACTAGTCAAAATCTATTCTCTCCCTCTACCAGACACTCCATGTCTTCCAGCAGGGTGTCCAACAAGAAACATAACCAAAGCATAACCAAAACTGTTGGGTCACGCAAGAGAGAAGCTGGTGTTTAGGTATGACTGGGGGATAGGACTCTTGTTTCAAACTCTTCTGCTGACTTGATTTAGTTGTGGATGGGAAGCATGTGTAGCTCAGAGAACAACTTGCAGGAGTCACTTTCACAGTGTGGGTCTTGGAGATTGAACTCAAGTTGGCAGCCAGCACCTTTACCTGCTGAGCTATTTTTGCAAGCACTGGAATCTTGTCTTATAGTTGACCACAGCCAAGGAGCCAAGAAGTGACAACCCTTGTTTTAAACAGATGCTTAAGCACAATCCAAGTCCTACAAGGATCTAGACTCTAGGTCTGAATATTGAGCTGCATCAGCTGCAGACTCCATCGTCCATATACAGAATCTAGATGCCAGTGGTCAGATACAATGTACTCTCTTCTAGAGGCTTCCTGGGACTTTTACAGAATGAAAATGTTCTGTAATTATATTATAGAATCATACTGTAAAAAAAAAATGCTTATTTTTACAAAAGAAAAATATTCTGTCTGGCCAGAATAAAAGTTCTCAAAAGTCCGTGCCTGTAATGATCAGGTAGTTCATGTCATTTTCCTGGTTGTAAAATACCCATTGTTCAGCAACCCTCCCCCAGATTTATAGCTGTTATCGAGGGCTACTCGGACTAGTCTTTGTAGGTGGCACCCCAAGAAAGGCAGAGTCCTTGAGACTACAGTAGCTCTACTGTCTAGACTGTAGCAATGATCACATAGAACCAATTCTTTTACATTTCCTGTGGAGACCCAAAGTCTCACAGCGGAAAAATCCAGTCTCTGTGTCATTACAGAGAATCACTATAGATCCACAGAAAAACAAAACCAAAGGGCCCCGAGTAAGCCATTGTGCTTCTGCACAGGCTGGGAGGGTCCTGGTGGAGTGCCCACAGGGAATCCCGGGTCACCCTCCCATCCACAGTTCTCTGGGGGTCAGGCTGGGGACTAGTAACTCACCATTCCAACTTGAATGCTTGAAGTACCAGTATTTTCCTCCTCCATAATTAACAAAGACCATGAGGATGAGAGCTATCCTGTAAGGCCAACAAAGGGAGGGTGGTGTGACAAACCGTCAAGAACAGACCCTCTGTCAGACAAGGTGCGTCACATAGTAATGTGGCTTGACAGAGCAGTGTGTGACCTGGGTAGAAATTGAGGATATGATTATCTGCTGCTCACTATGAGGGACCACATGATGATGCACTGCTGTCAACATTTCTAACAATATCTCAAGAAAATGTGTACTTGGGCTGGCAAGATGGCTCAGCTGGGAAAGACCACAGCCCTCAACGCAGAAGGGGAGAATTCACTTCTGCGGGCTGTCCTCTCACCTCCAAGGGTGCACCATGACCACGAATCCCTGTTTTTTAGACAAGGTTTCTCTGTGTAACAACCCTGGCTGTCCTAGAACTCACTTTGTAGACCACAATGGCCTTGAACTCAAAGAGATTTGTCTGCCTCTGCTTCCTGGGTGCTGGGATCAAAGGTTGTGCCACCACACCCTGCTTATGCTACTGAATTTTGTGATCTGAAAACAAAGTAACATGTTTCTAGTAATGCAACTTTTTAAAAATTATTTTGGGTATCTCAGGTTTATTGTCATAGAAGACATAGAAGTCTAGGCCTCAGAAAAGTCCAAAACTTGAGTCTGGTTTTCTTCTAAGAACATCCTAGGCACTTAATTCTAGTTTCTGTCTAACTCTGAACCACTTATCTCCAAGTGTCAATGATAACAGACAGAAAAAGAATACACTCAAATGGACTTTGAACAGGCTGTCCTTTGGTGTTATCCTGGGAAGGGACACTCTGGCAGGCTGAGAGACTAACTTGCCTGTGCCTTGTGACCCAACTGCCTATGACACAAGCCTAACTTAACAACTCAGTGGCTGAGAAGTTTATTTAACTGAGTGGCTCTCTTTCTCATCTGTGGCTCACACCTGCAACAAGCACATTTCGCAGTATTATTAAGAGTTCAAACAAGATGTGTTTAGAGCTTCAATGGCCCAGAGAACCACATAGTTGTCATCTATTTTATACACTGAGATTATTTTCTCTGAAACCTGAAATAAGCTAAAATACCAAATGCATCTATAATGCCACCAGTGGAAAACGTCACACTGTTGTCATGTCAGCTCATAGTAAAAGTGCAGGTGCTGGCTGATGGTAAAGCAGTGTTTGCCCCCCTGAGTGGGGCCTGCCATACATCCCAAAATGCCTCACTCTGCCCCCCCAAAGGAAAAGACAAAAACAAGCAACTCATAGGCACAGTAAAAATTCTGTCTAAAATCACTTTCAAGTCATGCATGTGAGGTAGGACCTGGGTCCCAGCCAGGACTTCTCAGTGTTAATATTCAAACACTCTGAACTCTGAAATACCTCTGGCTCCAAATGTTCTGGATAGGGGCAGCTTATCCAAACACATATATGGCTCAGCTGGTAAAGCCACTTACTGCACTTACGTTGTGTTTCAGAGTCCCAGCTCCCACACATCTAAGGGGTCCCTGGGACTCTGGAGGCTGAGAAGGAAATGCAAAGCTTCCAGTAGAAGTCAGTTATTCTCAGATGAGAGAAAGAGAATAAGTAACAGTGTGTAGTTTTGGCTTCACCATTATCTGCTTTGTCAGAGTTTGGCCTTGGCCTGTCTACCACAAGTACAGCATGACAAATATGACACATGATGGTGGATCTGCCATCAGGGAACAAGACATCAGGTCATTTGTGCAAAAGGAATGCTGAATGCCGTTTATTGAGGGGAAGATGTGGACTTATATACTGACTCACAGCACAATGGAAAACAATCAAGGGTCAAGCGTGCAAGTTTTCGGGCTTAGTTCCTCCCCAGCAGATGTGTGTTAGCAAATCAAGAAGAGTACCAAGAACTACTCTGAAGCAAGATGTTCCAGCCAACAGCTTCAGGCTTGCTCAAGGTGCCTTGGGGTTCCAAGCAGGGCCCTACACAGGCCGGCCTTGAATTCTCAGCAGTCCTACTGCCTCAGCCTCCTGCGTGCTAATTGCAACACTACACCAGCCCAGAAAATTAAAAATATGCAAAATAGCTTAAGCTAAAAATGGGTTTGTGTGTAACTACAAAATCTGACATGGACCCGTCCCTGCCACGTTATGAGCCCCACTTACCCCCTAAATGTATCCATGCATCGGACACGGAATGGCAAGGCAGATGTGCGTCGTGTTTCTGGTTGACAGTCACCACTGAGGGGGTCTGCTCTGCTTGGAGATCCTAGCTCCTTCCAAAGGGAGAGAGACGGTACTTAATAAGGCTAAGGTATAGACTTCATTATCTGGTATTTTAGCAAAGAAATTAGAGTGGGAATGAGATAACTTTTGAACAGTGATGTAGTTTTGTGAGGATCCCATTCAGAGGTTTAATTCTTCACTTTATTTGCACCATTATGCTTTTTGCTGAGTTTGCTGCTAGTCATGTTGATAGTGACACAAAGAAGTGGTTTAGGGGCTGAGAGAATAACTCAATGGCATAGGGGCTGAGAAAATAACTCAATACCATGTGAGAGGCCATGTGTTTAGCCCCCTACACCAAAATAATAATAATAATAATAATAATAATAATAATAATAATAATAATAGCAGCAAACATGTTCTCATGTAGTCCAGACCGACACGGGAACAAATGTACTGCAGAGAATTTATTAGTCCAAATGTAACAGTATATCTAGTCATTACAATGGCCATCAACACCTATTCATTTAATACTGGTGTTCAGCTCATTTATTTTCAAACAGGAATGACTACTGAGTGAAAATAGTACATCTTAAGGCACCCAGACTTCCACCCTCACTGAGAAAGAGAGGAATATGGGACCTCCATAGAAGCTGAAGACAAGGCTGCTCTTTATTAGGGACACAAGTTGGGGTCTAGAAAGAGGCCAAGCCTGAAGTGTCTGCTGCACAGGCCTCACAACTGAACCCACAGTGGAAGGAGAAAATCTATCCCTAAAGGTAGTCTCTGAGCTCTAAATGCCCACAGCACATGCATGCACACTCACACCCACACATCTCTCTCATACACATACATTAATAAGTAAGTAACAGAATAAAATAAAAAATAGATGTGAGGGGCCTGGGGCAGCTGGAAAGGTGCTTGCCCAGCGTATTTGAGGCCTCATACCACACAAACAAACAAGATGACATATGCCTGTCATCTCAGCCCTCAGGAGCTGGACAAGAGGAGGGACAGGAGTTCAGGGGTATCCTTAGAGGTCAGCCTAAGCTACATGTGACCCTGTCTCCAAGAGAGAGAAAGAGAGAAAGGAGAGAGAGAGGAGGGAGGGAGGGAAGGAGAGAAGAAAGGAAGTATGCAAGCAAGCAAGCATGCAGGCAGTGCTGGTTTACATCAATAATCCCAGCATTTGGGATCATCACACAGGAAGAGTTTAGGTACTCTTGAGCAATGTTGCTGCATGAAGAGTGTCTGTGTAGCACACACAGGTCCTGGGTTAGAAAATCAGCACAGGGAAATCACTCAAGACATATTGGCTGGCTTTCCACAATATAATTAAAATGTACTAAGCTGGACAATAATGCTCACTAAAAGGGAAATTATAAATTCAGACCCAGAAAACGTCCCAGACAACACACGTAAACTCGAATAACTCACAGAATTGATGAGGCGGTCAGTTTCTCTAGAAGTTATTGTCTTAGAAATCCAATTACTGAAGTCATCCAAACTGTGTTTAAAAAAAAAAAAAAGCCTCCATTTGTTTTCATTCTTGAATGGTAATATTTTCAAAATGACTAGTGACTGGAATAAGACTTAAGTTCAGGTCCATAACATTATGAAAGATTTTTAGAAATGGCAAAATAGTTTTCAGTCACCTCATCAGTTAATAAGGACAACGGTGGAAACACAAAGAGCCATGAAACTCTCATGACAGGTGCTCTGTCACCAGGGGTCTCACTGCCATTAAAATGCAAAGTGCAGACACATGACAACTGTGATCACTCAACCTAGGAGTGTCTCAACAGAACACATGGCAAGTAAACCATTACATATAAAAAGCGAAAGGCACACCCTCTATGTGATTGCAACTATAAACAACCGCACACAGCACACTGAGCAAGCTGGAGTGGAGAGAGCATTGGATTTTGGTTTTTTTTTTGTTTTTTTTAAGATGAGACCCGTACTTGAGCATACGTCTTCCTATAGATCCCCAGCCCACAAGACAGCTCACTAAGTAAAGATATTTAACACCAAGACTGACAACCTGAGTTTGATATCAGGAACCTATGTAGTAGGAGAGACCTGATTCCCAAGAGGAATCCTCTGACCTCCACACATGTGCATGCCCCTGCTACACACACATAAACACACACACATTCATATACATATATAAACACACACACACACACACACAAATAAACACATTTTTAAAAAACCCTCAAAAAACAAAACAAAACAAAACAAAAACACAATACCTTTAATCTCAGCACTTGAGAGGCAGAGCAGGGTGGATGTCTGAGTTTGAGGCCAGCCTGGTCTACACAGCAAGTTCCTGGACAGCCACAGCTACACAGAAAAACTCTGTCTTGGAAAAACAAAACCAAAAACAAACCAACCAAGCAAACAAACAAACAGAAACACCCAAAAAATTATATCTCAGATTGCTTTAAAACAAATCCACCCATATGTTTTGATAAACACAATGAGTCACTGAGCTTCAAATATCCACACATGGGCAGTCTTACTTGTCTAACTTCCCCCTCCTGACTCACTGCCTTTTAGTACTTTACAGAAAGCCCAGGCATAAAATCACCTCACCCATAAACATTGAGGTATCTGTAAAAGGGAAGAACTTTCATTTCTAAACATAATCATGACATTATCATACTTTACATTTATTTTCTTAAGTTTATTTATTATGTGGAGAGACGTGCACATGCCACAGTGTGTGGAAGTCAGAGGACAATTGCTGGAGTTAGTTCCCTCTTTCCATGTGGAATTGGGGTTGGTCAGGCTTGGTGGCCAGTACCATTGTGCAGGCCTTTCCCATCAATGCATTTCAAATGACAGCAATATTCCTTACTGTCTTCACACAGCCAGCTCAGTCTCCCCAGCTTACAGATGTTCTTCACACTTCAACTGTTCAAATCAGCCCCACATACAATCCTCACAACCAATGCTTCCCCTCGTAGGCACTTTCACAAACCAGGACCATACCTGGTCAACGAAGCATTGCTTATGTCACTATCTCGTGTAGATATTAAGACAGACACATCCAAGAAAACACCAAATGGAGAAGTAGAAATGCTTAAAAATAAACACTCGATTTTGACTGTTTCTTCTCCAAGTGGATGGGGATATCCTTGGCCTAAGAAATGTCCTTGAACTTACACAGGTATGCTGGGAAAAAATAGGGTAAGGGGTGGCCTTTAGCTCCTCTCCGACTGGAGCATTCAGTCTGGCCACCTAGGAGAGGCAAGATTAGTCCAATTACACAGGGAGCAAGATGACAAAATGAATGGCTCCTCCTTGCAAATAGTTTAGTTCAGTTATGTTATTATGGGGAGAAGGGAAAGATCCATTCACATGAAAAGTACCAAGAAAAAGTACACTGCCATATTAGAACAGCATGTCCATCTTACCAGAAGATTGACAAGCTAACATGTGACTCCAAAGAAATCAAACAGTGAGACTTCTACTTTCTTCCTGGGAAGCTGCTGAGTTCATGCCCAAGCAGCAAGTGACCCTTTTATCAATAAAAGGTCAGGTTTCTTAGACCTGAGATGAAACAATTTCAAAAGCCCACAAAGCTAGGGCCTGATACATAAGCGCCCTCCAGGCAGCCAAACTAAGGTTCTATTTTCACTCTCCCAATCTGAACACTGTTGTGGGATATATGTACACTGTTTGAAGATCTATTGCTGTGGTTGGTTTAATAAAGACCCGAATGGCCAATAGCTAGGCAGGGGGTATATGTGGGATTTCCAAGGAGAGAAAGGAAGAGGAGGAAGAATTGAGGGATAGAAGACACCAGGAGACACAGAGGAAACAGGAGGTGCAAGATGGAAAAGAGATAATACCACACGATAGAACATAGATTAATACAAATGGACTAATTTAAGTTATAAGAACTAGTTGGGAACAAGCCTAAGCTTTCATAATTACTAAGAAGTCTACATGTCATTATTTGGGAGCTGGTGGGTGGGTCAGGGAGAGACTCATTACAAAACACAGCTTACTAACAGACACATCCAAGAAAACACCAAATGGAGAAGTAGAAATGCTTAAAAATAAACACTCGATTTTGACTGTTTCTTCTCCAAGTGGACGGGGATATCCTTGGCCTAAGAAATGTCCTTGAACTTACACAGGTATGCTGGGAAAAAATAGGGTAAGGGGTGGCCTTTAGCTCCTCCAGAAGTTTGTGGTACTTCTGGAGACCCAAGACCCTAACAGGATCAACATGTGAAAACGCAATCTCTCCTCCCTCCCTCCCTCCCTCCCTTCCTCCCTCCCTCCCTCCCTTCCTAAGACCAGTTTCACTATGGAGCCAATGCAGGCTCTGAACTCAAACTACAGATCCTCCTTCCTCTACCTCCCAACTGTTGGGGCCACATAGGTGTGTCACAATGACCATCCTTCTTCCCTTTAAAACATGAAAGAATTTTCCTTTAAATCTGATTAAAGGGCAATTAAGAATTTATACTGTTCTTAAAGAAGAACCAAGTTTGAGTTCTACATTGGATGGCTCACAATTACCTTAATCCCAACTTCAGGGGTTCCAATGCCTCTGGCCTCTGTGAACACACACACACACACACACACACACACACACACACACACACACGGGGAGAGAGAGAGAGAGAGAGAGAGACACACAGACACACACACACACACACACAGAAAGGGACAAACACATAGAGAGATGACACACACAAACACATACACAGTATTTTTAAAAATTAAATTTTCCATTGATTAAACCAGACTAGATCTAGTTTCCTCTATTTTTCTTGTCAGTGTAGTCACCAGGATCATAGTTATCCAGTCAGGGAGGGCCAAACACCCTCTCAATCAAAAGCTTCTACCCACAAGAAAAGAAAGAGTCCTTGCTAAGGTCCTGGGCTCCATGCTGCCCTTGTGTGGCTCTTTGGTCCCCAGAATCCTGGGCTAACAGGAAGCAGAGAAAGATGGAGTGGAGGGGTCATCAAGACTCAGAAGGAGAGAAAAGGAGGAGAACCCAAGTGTGGCAGCCTTCTAAAGATACTATAAACTGCCTCTACTAACTTAAACAATCCAGGAGACTCTTTAGGAGCTAAATGTTTCTCAAACATCTTCATCTTCAGCCATTGTTGGGAGAATGGAAGGCAAAACCCCATCTGCACCTTCAGGAGCATGGCCTATCTGCTCAGATGCCCAGGACTGGAACAGACATTTCAGATGCACAAACGCTCACCAAACAAATAATACTCATCTATCTATGTGTGAATGTCCTGAGATGACATAATGGTCCCTTGAGAGCCAAATCACCCTTTCTTACATTATTTCTAGGCCTATGTTTCCCAGTCATGCCCTCCTCAACAACTTACCTCAGTAAGAGTCTCAGGAAAGATATTGCAATGATGAGTGCTAGACCAACAAGGAATGCGATGGTTACAGCTATAAAAGAAAACACAAACAAAACAAAAAAACCCGCATTATCCTCAAAGTAAGTATCAAAGCTGTTGGGGATCGTATGACCCTCTCAGTGATAGCTGGAGCAAATATGAGCGAAGCTCACATTCTCGCGTTAAACGCTGTATAAACAATTAAGAATGGAGCATACAGGGGCACTGCATGATACACTCCCAACACACCCACCACACATTACTATTATTGAAAGTCTCCCTTGGAGCTAGGGACGCGGCTTGGCAGCACTACCCTTGCATTTTCAAGGACCTGGGTTCTGTCTTCCCCAAAACAAAAATGGTATTGCTAGGTTTCGTCTATTAAGTCCCTTCTCCTTGTTTTGCTAATATATCTTAAACCCCAGACATTGTATTATTTCATACCTATGTCCTTCAGTGTGTTCATAACACATATGGATCCTACGGAGGGTCTGTGATCTCATATGTCTCCTTTCATACCACCTTTCCTGCTGAGTCATCTCACTGGACCTCAGCTGACCATTTTATATTAACATCTATATTAAATTCCTGTTACTCCAAAGGCAACTTAAGTATTGTTTTTATTTTTGTCTTCTTTGTTTCATTAATAACTGTTTTTATACTCTTGACATGCTATTTTTTCATCAATGACATTCATTACTTTTTAACTGTTTTTATATTTATTTATTCTTGGTGTGTATGTATGAATACTGCACTGCGTGTGTGGAGGTCTCTAGTGTCTCCTACCATGTGAGATTCAGGGAACCGAAAACTTGGATCCTCAGGCTTGGTGGCAAGTACTTTTACTTGCTGAGCTATCATGCTGGGCTTTATTTTAATTGCTTAAGCAGCCCGCACTGCCCCTTTGTTAATGGCTCTACATTCTTTTAAATGACATCACTCTTAGCTCTCTGTAAATGAACTCACTAATGATGCAAAGATTCCTTGCCATCCCTTAACGAGCATCACACACAGGAATATCCAGAGAGGGCTCAACGTGACAGATATTCTGCAATGGAGTTGTAAGAAAATGAATGCTGCTTACTGTGAGGGGACCTCAGGAGCGGCTGTCAGTGTCAAGACTCCTGGGAGCACTATGCCTTAAACCCCCAAACAGAAAGTGAACTGCCTCATTTCTAATTTCTTTCCATTGTATTAACTTTTTAGAATGCCTGCTTTGTGAAAAACAAAACCAAACCAAACCCTATGCTTAAGCCCAGCAATATCAAAATACACAGTAAAGGCATCAAATAGGGATGGGAGGTACAGGCCAATGGCAGAGCACACACTTGAGCACGTGAGAGGTCCTGATTTTAATCCCCGGCACCAAAAATAAACTACAGCTGTCCCATAAATAAATGAACACAATGGAAGTGTCAGATACAAGACTGAAAACTCTGAACATACAGACATGAGAAACCACCAAAGAAACATATACATACGAAGGTTGCTGTTGACTGGATTGTCATTGACAACTATGTCACAGACAATTTCATCGATTCCAGAGGAAGCACGCTGTATCAAAAGGGAATAGTTTCCAAATTCCCCAAATTTGTATTCCAGCCTAAAAAGGGCAGGTAACATGAAGGTCAATGGTTACATTAGGAAATAAGGGGCTAGGCTAGCGGTTCTCAAACTGTGGGTCACAACCCTGATGGGGTTGAATATCAGTTATCCTACATATCGAATATTTACATTGCAATTCATAACAGCAGCAAAATTACAGTTATGAAGTAGCAATGAAATAATCTTATGGTTGGGGTCACCACAACATGAAGAACTGTATTAGGAAGGTTGAGAACTACTTGAACTAGACTCTGTTAACACCATTAGCGAGAAATGACATGAATTTCTCTATACAGATCGGGAAGATTAAGAAAAATGTTTTAGCCCTTTCTGCCGCCGCCATGCCATCCAGACTGAGGAAGACCCAGAAACTCCGGGGCCACATGAGCCATGGTAAACACCGCAAACACCCAGGAGGAGGCCGTGGGAATGCTGGAGGCAAGCATCACCACAGGATCAACTACGACAAATACCATCCAGGTTACTTTGGGAAAGTTGGTATGAGGCATTACCACTTAAAGAGGAACCAGAGCTTCTGCCCAACAGTCAACCTGGATAAGTTGTGGACACTGTTCAGTGAGCAGACTAGGGTCAATGCTGCCAAGAACAAGACTGGAGCTGCTCCCATCATTGATGTTGTGCGATCGGGCTACTACAAAGTTCTGGGGAAGGGGAAGCTCCCTAAGCAACCTGTCATCGTGAAAGCCAAATTTTTCAGCAGAAGAGCTGAAGAGAAGATAAAGGGTGTTGGAGGTGCTTGTGTCCTGGTGGTTTGAACCACCCAGAGAGGTTAATTAAATGCTAACATTTTCCAAGTGAAAAAAAAATGTTTTAAAGAGAGGAAAAACAAAAACCATTTAGGGGAAGAAAAAAAAGCAGACTCAAGTTAGTCCATGACGAACAGGTACAGACCTGCAAGCTGCTGTTTCTCTCCCGGTATAATTAACTTGTAGGATGGACCCGTGCTGGGTGTTCACGGAGACGGCTGCAATGCTTGGCTTTGCAGGTTTGCCACTGTGAGAGACATTTGCCAAAGGCTGGAAGGTGCACTGTGAAGACAAAAGCCAACAGGCAGTGTCAGGGTGGCCGCTGTTGTCATTTGGCAGTCCTGAGGACCAAAGCCACAGCCTTGTACTGTTAGGCAGGTGCTTTATCATAAACTACACAGCTTGTCCTGTTAGGAGTCTTGAAAGTCTCTCAGTGGTCGGGGGCCACAATATCCAAGAGAAAAATCCAAACTCTTCCTTGTACTTTAAAAAACTTAAACTGCAGTAATTCAGATAAAATTTACCCATTTTATATTAAAATAATAACTACCATAATGGAATTGAATAATCTTTATTAATAGGTAAGCTTTGTATAAGTTAATAAATACAGCCTATATTAAATATTGTACTCTATCATTTTAATGAATACTATTTAACAATTAAATTTATAGGATCTCATGTTACATGTTTCTGTTTAATATACATATGTCACCAATTACAATAATTATGGGTATTTATGTCTTCAAAGCTTTTCTACTGTAACTTTATATTTTTGTCACACAAATATAGTTTAAAAATATCTGCACATGAGATTCTTACTCTTTTAAATTCTTTCCTTAATGTAACTTTCTAAAAGTGAAATTACTGGATAAAAACAATCATCTTAGTTGGTGGAGAACACCTTTAATTCCAAAACTTGAGAGGCAGAGGCAGGTGGATCTCTGAGTTTGAGGCCACCTGGCGTCTACAAAGAAGTTCCAGGACATCCAGGGGTACACTGAGAAACCCTGTCTTGAAAAACAAAACAAACAAAAAAATCATTTTAATTGTAATAAGAATCCCTGCCACACGTGGCCTAGCAGAACTCAACTTTCTTTTTTAAGAAAGGGTAAGAGAGAGAGATACCAATTAGTGCCAAGCATATTCTTCCTCAATCATATCCCATCTAGTTCTTTATTATTAACTACTTGTTTCCTAACCTATAAATCAGAAGGGAACAAGAAAGGGGTTTGGGTCTGAGAACATAAGAAGAATGCATCAAACAAGGCTGAAGCAAATGGTGAGGATGCATACAATACGTACCTGATAGCAGAATTCAGATTTCCAGTACACAGTGAGGCTTGTTCCCATCAGCTCATTGTGGATGAGAAGCAAAGCCTGATCCATCTTCAGCTCCACATTCTTCTTTTCATCTACATCTGAAAAGAGTCACAAACAACAGTTACAAAACAAAGCAAGCCGAAACCAAGGCACCTGAGGGCGACAGACAAAACAGAGCACAGCAGCAGCTTTTCACAAATACCCACAGGCTCCAGCATGTGGGCTCCAGCATGATGCCCCACGTATGCAGATGTACCTGTGTGCAATGCCACACACAGAGGCCCTGAGGGCCCTTCAGCACCACTCACATCCAGTGTGTGCGAGGACTGTGAGGAGGTAACACCATACATATAAACATCAAATGAGGACACCAAGATACAGATGTGTATGAAAACTCCCACAGGCAAGACCATCCCCCTCAAAGTCCAGCCCAGTGACCTCACTGAGACCATCAAGAACGAATCAGGACGCACAACCTGACCACCAGCACTTGATACAGGGCAACAAGCAGTGGGAGCATGACCACACTCTCTTGGGCTACACCACCCAGAAACAGTCCAGCCTGCCCCTACTGCTGCACCTACATGGAGGTGTCATCCAACTCTCCCAGAATCACAACTGATATGAGATGATTGGCCCCAAGTGCTACACCCACCTGCACTAACCAGTTGTATGCTGTAGCCACTCCAACAGTAAAAGAAAAACATAAATGCAGACTATGGCCCTCCCTCCCAACTCACATATGCAAGTGGGCAAGTGTCCTGGGCCATTCTGCCTCTTAATATTTTGAGACCTCTTGCATTATTCTGGTGGGGGATTTTGAATCTCCTTCTAGCTTTAATGGCAGATCTGAAAGGGGTAAGAAGTGTATAAGAAGGCTGAAGGTCAGAAACTCTCTGCTTTAGTATTCAATCAAGAGGTCCAGGTCACAGCTTGCTAGATGACATCATTAGGGTGGCACAAAGATGATAATCATTTAGGGCCTGGGGTGGATTCCCTCTCACCATGTAGACTTCAGAGACTGAACTCAAGCAGTCTGGCTTGACAACACACTTTAGTGCTGAGGCATTTTTCTCAGCCTTGTATGTTATTCATTTATTTTTACAAAGTACCCACACAGTGAACTTTCATGAGTTAAGTTTTCCCTCTAAAATAGTCTTTAAAGGTTTTATTACAATCTCAGAAGTACTGTGAAATAACCACTCCTATTCAGTGGAGCTGGCAACGGCTTTCTTACTATGTGCCATATCCAAAAATTCTTTATATTAGTGTCGTTTCCCCCCTCCCCCCCTTGGGATTTCTCTGCATTGCAGTGATTGACCTTGAACTGTTGTGTTGAAGGGATCCTTCTCCCAAAGAGTTGGGGCTCCAGGCAGGCATCACTGTGAGACCCTGAGAATCAACTGTCCTGCATACGGGTCTAAGTGGAGGTCAGTCAGCTGTAGTAGCTACAGTTTAGGTTACCACACTCCAGAAGGAAGCTTATCTGCTCTGTAGATTGCCTTTAGATTGCCCCCTCACTTTTCAACTGTAAATAGAAAAAAAGCTTTGAACATATCCTCCAAATGCTTGGCATGACTATTTCCATATCGTGCAAGTTGTTGGATGCTTGTTTAATCCCTTTCCTAAACCCAGTACTCTTAGGTTTATCTTTGTCATAATATTCTTTTTCATTTCTTCTGGTTAATGTTTAAAAAGTGTGTTTGGGTGCCTTGCCTGCATGCATGTATATACCACATGTGTGCCTGGTGGCCCAAAGGGCCAGAAGACAACATCAGAACCTCTAGAACTTGAGTCTATATGGTTGTGAGCTGCCATATAGGTGCTGGGAATTGAAACCGCATTGTCTGGAAGATCAGCCAGTGCACTTAACCTGGAGACATCTCTCCAGTCTATTGTTCATTTGTGATGGTCTTCCTTTTCGAGTTTAGTGTAACTCCCTATGCACCTGCTCATGTTTTCTCTATACTTCGGCATCCCTTCATGGTCTGAATAACTGTATTTCTATTTCTTCATCTTTAGTCGAAGTTTTATGCTTTGATTTCCCTTGTGGGTTCTAGACTCCCAAAGCTCTTGTCATTATTACTTGTTACTGTATAATTCAGGACTATACAAGAGTCCCTCAAGCCTAGCTAGACACCACAATTGCCTGGGAAGCTTAAAAAAGAACAGCAATAAAAATTTCAAACACCCAGAGCAGACTCCAAACTCAGGATGACTTTTTAAAATCGCTCCTCCCCCCAATCACAAGGCTCCTAAACTTCTGAATTCTTATGCCTTTCTTTGTACTTCTTTGTACTTTCAATGTATTTTTAAAGTTCGGAAGGTGGAGGGTGTGTTTCACACAGACACCGCTTCTAAGTCTTAGCATGGGTGGGTGGTGGGGACGGGGCAGGCAACACACCTCGCCAGGTGACAGGCCCTACCCCAAACAATGCGCAATGGGGGTCTGTCCACTTGCCTCGGTCCTGCAGCCAAACTGGCCTCCGGACAGGAGTTTGTGAAGCGGTGTTACAGGACCCTGAGGACCTAGGGATCGAGAGAAGTCCCAGAATTCCCGTTATTCATTTCCCCTTAGCCCTGGTGAATTCGGAGGCGGACTGAGCACCCAACCCGGGCGCCTGCAGCTGAACCTGGGAAGCCAGGCCGGGCCGAGCCGGGCTCCCGGTGGCAGCTCCCGCGACGCCGCCGGCACTGCAGTCCACCTCGGAGCGGACCCGGCGCCTCGCTCAAGTCCTGTGCCCCGGGGGTCGTGGGACGTCCCCGTCAGGCCCACGCACGGTGCCCGCTGCCCGGAGCCCGCGCGGCCGCTCACCTGGCTCCGCCCGGCGGCCAGGGGCCAGAAGCTTGGCGCTCAACACCGACCCGGCCAGCAGCAGCGCGGCCAGCGCCGGGCCCGCGCCCATGCCGCCTGCCGCCTCCCTCGGGAAGCCGCGCTCCTCTATCCCCGCTGCCGAGCTGCGCTCCTCTGTACCCGCAGCCGTGCCGCGATCCTCAGCCCAGCGCCTGCGCAAACTCGAGCCGCCCGTCATCCGCCGCTCCGGTGTCGTCACCCCAGCAGTCCCGCAAGGAAGGGGGCGGGGCCGCGCCTCCAAGGCCCCGCCCCCTGCCTTGCTAAGCCCGCCCCGCTCAGTGGGAAAGTATGCCCGGCTAGCGCCGTCCCTAGCAGGAAGGAGTCAAGCCTGGCTGTTTTCGTCCTCAGTGTTTCCGTCCCGTGGGGAGAAACATCCAGAAGGTGGCTTTGCTTCCCGACTTACTCACTCTCACCACTTTCCGGAATAACATTCTAAATTCTTGCGTCCTAGCCTTTCAACGTGCAAACGGGTGTTACGGGCCTATGTCCACTTTCTAGGAGATTCCTGGGTCATAAACAAGACTGCAGAGCTTCCCCTTCATATGCACAAACTCTGGATGTTCACTATTTGGAGGGAAAGATACACCCCCTAAAAGGTCTCCTGTTTCCGGCACCGTGAAAAGGCCACTGCTAATCCTCTGTGGAAGATAAAGGTGTTCAGGGACAGGTCCCTGCAGATCCACGCTGCTGTCTGTATTCCCAGTGAAACCATCATGTGTAAAAGAGGTCAGGCACAATTTGAAACAAAATTATTTCTAATTGCAAAATCGCGTGAGCAATCCAAATGGCCGTCGCTGGGACATGTTATGCAGCGATGGAAATGTCCAGACCTTCACATATCCATATGTGAAAGTCATGAATAAGATAAAGGGAAACAGGCTGCATTTAGCTTTGTAATTACATTATTCAATTTCTTAGATGGACTCATTTACAAATCCAATTATGCAAAGAAACAAACGTGCGACTACATTAAAAGAATCTCATTCTAGCCCGGCTGGATGGCACACACATTTAATCCCAGCAGAGGCAGGAGCATGTCTGTGAGTTCAAGGCCAGCCTAGTCTAGTGAGTTCCAGGATGGTCAGGGCTGTAACACAAAGAAAGGACAACAATAACAAAGATTTAAGGAGCCAGAGAAGCAGGCCCTGAACACCAGAAAAATCCAAGAGAGCATTCAGGCTTTCAAGGCCACAGGCTCCAGACCCCAAGACTGAACTGCTTGTAGGGTTAAGGGTGATGCTGCTACCTGAGGGCTGCATACAACACTACTGCTTATGGCTGCTGCCCCTGCTGCTCCTCCATGCTGGCAGCCGATGAGGAAAATTAAAGGTGAGGGGGTGACAGCAGCCCTTGCAGAGATCCCCTTGTGTACCCAGGAGCTCTCCCCAGATGGAGCAGAACCCTCAACCTCTGGTATGGAAGAAAGTGGTGGGAGGTGACACAGAGCTCAGTCATGGTTCCCCAGTTAGGAACCGAAGGAAGCAGCTCATAACTGCTGCAACTCCAGGTCAGGGGTCAGATTCTCTTTTCTGGCCTTCCTGGTCTCTGCATGTACACAGACTCCTGGTCATTGTATACCCATACAGCCTTGGTCACTGCATACATGTACACGCTTAAATGTAGCTAAGCACTCATAAATCCAAAATAATTAAAATATGAAAAGAAAAAGAAAACCCAAATTTCTAAGGAATCTTGGCAAATTCATGGAATTAGTGATTAATATTTAAAATAATAAAATGGCTAGATGTCTTCAATAAAACTTATGTGGAAAAAATAGTATCAGAGGGAAATAAAAGCTTATCTTAGAAAACTTGTAATTGTGTTAAGTATATGCACACAAAACCCACACCTCTGCCTTGTTACATGGAAACAGAGAATGACTCTGGGTTTCCATTTTTGTAATATTTCTCCTGTTCTTGTAATCTGCATTTTAAAAACAAAATCACAGTATATATATATATATATATATATATATATATATATATATATATTTTAAAGGTTCTAAAACTCTGTGATAGTGGGTTAAACAAGTGGAAAAAAAACTGTTGCAGAATATTTGCACTGTGTGAAGATGTGTTGCTGTGATTGACATAACAAAATGATGTATGGCCAATAGTTAAGCAGGAGAGATAGGTGGGACTTCTGGACAGAGAAGATGATCAAGGCAAGCAGGAGACGACAGGAAGACACAAAATGAGTGGGACACACAGAATGGGAGAGAGGTAAAAGACATGCTGTAGAGTATAGTTTAATTAAAAGAAAAAATGAGTTAATAAGTTACAAGAGCTAGTGGGAAAAGCCTAAGCAAATGGCCAAGCTTTATTAATTAGTAAGTCCCCCTGTCATTATTTGTGAGCCGGCAGCCCAAAGGAAAGTCCAACTGCACATGGCACTTCACACTGGCTTTTCTGTTGGGACTGCCAGCTTGCAAATAATGACATGGAGACTTATTATTAATTATAAAAGTTTGCTCTTTAGCTTGGGCTTGTCTCAACTTGATTCTTTCTCCTCTTCCTTTCTCTTCTCAGAAATCCCACCTATCTTCACTTGCCTAGCTACTGCTCGTTCAGCTTTTTTATTATACCAATCACAGCAGTACATCTTCATGCTGTACAAATACTCTGCAACAGAAAGCAGACATATTCAATGAAATAACTAGACTCTAGCCTCCAAACTGAATCTCTTGAGCCTTAACTCAGCAGACGAATAACACAGACTATATGCAAGGTTGGATTGCTTAATAAAACATTGGAGGGGGCTGGAGAGATGGCTCAGTGGTTAAGAACACTGGCTGCTCATCCAGAGGTTGTCAGTTCAATTCCCACATGGAGGCTCACAACCATAAGTAATGAGATCTGGTTTCCCTCTTTTGATATGCAGGCTGTATACATAATAAATAAATAAATCCAACAAAAAAAAAACCCATTGGAATGTGTGTTTAGCTATTTATTTTTAAGACTTTAGACTTCTCCCTTCTATACCTGAAACAATTATAAAATTAGATTTTGTGTGTGTGTGTGTGTGTGTGCATTTAAAAAAAAAAAAAAAAACATGCCAAGACTGTTGGAGCATTCAAAGCCCACCCACAGAAACATATAAAGGCACACATCAGAACACACACTTGACCAGTTAGAGCAACCCTGTCAGTCACAGCTCACTTCTCTTCTTATGTTTCTTTTTCTAATTTGTGCCAAGTGTCAGTTCCCTGGTTAGAGTGCAGAAGACTGTAAGCGAACACCGTGCCTCTGACACCGTGCCTCTGAAGTACGACAAGACTTTCGTGTTTTACATCCTCATTTGTATTCAGGGTCCTATTCTGGGTCCTCTCTGGACGTTGCACTTCGAGATCATTCTGTTGTAAATGCCCCTGAGGTTGACTAAAATTGCCCTCATCCAGGGAAAGGACCAGACTCACTCAGCTTGTGGTCTCTTTTAAGTTTTCCTCTTTGAATACAACAGAGCAGTGAGTACTGGTGGAGTTGGGTAAACATCTCCCACTGTGTGATCTCAGCCCATTCTATCACTTCCTGTCCTTCCATGTGCCCTGCTCCCAGCCCTTCACACACCCCAATCTTCCTGTTTCTATGGTTTTAGAACTGGATGGTGCAGATGCAATTATGTAACATGCCATCTTCTAAGAGCAGCTTCTTCCATACAGTATGTTCTTAATGCTTACTCACTGCAGCATGCAAAAGAATGCCATTCTTTAATGCTGAACAATACACTATATGGATGTGTGTGTGTGTGTGTGTGTGTGTGTGTATACACTTTATTACTGAGCAACATTTTACCTTTTGGCTATTAGCAATAATTGCACCATCAATGCTCATGAATAATGTAAACATGTTTTCATTATTTCAATCCTCCTGTGTTTATACTTGGAAGAATCTCTGGGTCATGTAATGATTCTATTCAAACTTTCTAAGGAACTGCCTGAATGTTTTCCCAATATGCTTTTGCATTGTTAGGCTCACTCACTAGCAACATAGTAAGGGATCCAATTACTCCACTTCCTGGCCAGTGGGTTAAATGGAATTTTTGCAAGACAACAAACCCAAAGTAAATGGAGTACTCTGTGAGCTTCACAATGACGTTCAGATACCCTGGGCAAGCTCATCCCCTAGTCAGCCACAGGTTACAGAAGACAACATAATACTGATGCTGCCTACTTCTTTGTCTGTGGTATGTATTTCTCAGTGGAGCAACGCACCTCAAACTGTGACCCCTGGAGGAGGAGGGAAACATTGGCAGCGGTGGTGGCGGAAACAGTCACAAAAGAAAACTCCTGGACTTCACTCTAGACTCCAGGTGGCTCTGTCTCCTGCTCAGGTTTAGGGGAAGACAGAGGCACCTTCTGAGTGACCCTGAACACACACCGACTCTCTCTTGTCACCCAAAATAAGGATGCCAGCACCACAGGAGAGACCCTTTTTTATTGGGGGGGGGGGGTGGTACGGATAGACAGGGTTGTGAGATATAGCCCCTGAGAGCCCTGAACTCATAGTCCTTCTGGTCTGTCCTCCAAGTGCTGGAATTACAGGTGTGCACCACCATCTCTGGCTCCACAGTTTTGTTTTGCTTTGTTTTTTTTAAGTGTTCAGTTGTGCAATCCCAGGGGAGGCTCCACGCTTTCTACTAAAAAGGGACATTGGATATGAAATACTCACACAGAAACCCCAGGTCAGCACCATCTAAGGCAGGTAAGACAGTTCACTCAGCTTGCTGTTGCCAACATCCCTAGCCATTCACAATCTTAAGAGCATGCTGCCACAGTGAAGATTCATAGCAAATCATCTCTAACACTGACAATGACCTCACTGACAAGGGCTGCACCTGAGGCACCCAAAGTGTGTAAACACATTACGGAGCAGATCCAGAGCTTTTCACAGAACCAGCCAAGTGTCTGACCACTGAGCTATGCATCCCCAGCTTCCAAAAGGACTTCTTAAATTAGGAGAAAATGTTCTCCAAAGAACTAGTTCACTGGTGGTCATTTAAAGATTTCCAATTCTGCCAGGTGTGGTGTACACCTTTAATCCCAGCACTTGGAGGCAGAGACAGGTGGATCTCTGTGAGTTCAAGACCAGCCTGGTCTACAGAGCAAGTTCCAGGACAGGCTACAAAGCTACAGCTACAGAGAAACCGTATCTTGAAAAAAAAAAAAAAAAAAAATACATTTCCTACCAGTCTATAAAAATGGTTACCAGAGTAGGCAATATGTCCTCATGATTACCATTTTATTACTTCCTTTAAACACTGCATAAATCCACAAATTCTCTGCATCTTCACCAGGAAGCCCAATGAAGCAAGGTTTTCCCACTTGGAAACTTCTATCTAGATTTCCAGGAGAGCAGAACACACTCAAACATGCAGGCAGATGTAGAGGAGAGCCTGCGTGGCTGAACAGTCAAAGTCAACCAAACACGAGGTTCATGGAAGCGAGTCCCATCATCAAGAGTAGAACAACAGGGATGCCATTCAGCATCACTCAAACGCTTGTTCTCATAGCATCTCTTTCGTCTGAGACATTGTGGTGTCTCTGAGTGAATGTAAAACCTTCTGGTAAGTGTCCAGAACATGCTGAGCTGTGGGTCTTTCTGAGGGGATCTGGCTCTTACATGCCTTATGAATATCAAACAAATGGAATCGAACCATGTCACTCCCTTCCACATGCCCCAGAAGGAAACTGGAGACATCTGGGATCTTCCAGATGTCAATCTTCTCGTCATAGGAAGGCATGAGGTCATCTTGGAAGGGCCTGCCTTCTCCATAAGGCCACAGCTGCTCTGGGGCCACAAAATCCCCATGGAGCTGCCTGTGGCCACACTTCACAAGTACCCTAGAGTCATGGTCTACCAAGGGCAGGGCATCCAGGTCGTTTGCTACAATGCTGAAGTTACTTGTCAGCAGATACTGGGACAATGTTTTGGGCAGTTCGTTAGAGTCACACATGACCCTCATGCCCAGCGGGCTGTGGTGGAGGTAGTTAATGATGGCCACATACTCCACAGCCAGCTGCAGCCTGTGCTCCCAGGTGTTCACATTTTGGTACTTTGAAAGGTTTAGTGTTGCTTCCAGGTTGCTCAAGGAACCTAAGGGGTGATATTCGGTAAGAATAGTGCCATCTTCCTCACAGTAGCCAACCAGCGTGACCACGTGCTCACTCTGGAGAGACTTCAGCATCTGCAGTCCATGGAGGAAGTCATCCTTCATCTCCAGCCTGGTGAGCCGTGAGAGAGCAACTTTGTGTTCATTCCACTCAGACAGAAAGACCTGAAACAGGGCAACAGAGAATGTCAGACCCGACTTCCACCAAAGCAAGCCAAGAAGCAAACACCTCCTAGGAGGCGGGTGGGCGTGGTGCAGAGGGCATGGAAACGAACCAGACACAGTCCAGTCCCTGCCGGCCTAGAGATGTGAAGACAAACACACAACACCCAGCAAGGTGAGCAGGTACCTGAGATGCGGAAGGAAAGATCAGCAGGCTCAAGGAGGAGACCACAGACTTCTAAAGGGTACACAGAGCCTCAGAGCCATCAGTACCGCAGTGTGAAAGAACACGGCAGACTCTTGGCTGACAGGAAGGGTAGGAGCTGGGTGGAAAGTGATGCCATCTACTAAAAGGGGGAACAGCAGGTCCCATAGAAGAGATTATCAAGCATTCCACACCAAGCCAGCTACAGTGACACATAGTTTAATCCCCAAACTCAAGAAGCCGAGGCCAGGAGAATCACAAATTTGAAGGCCATAAAGTTAAGACTCTTCTTCAAAAGGAAAAACAAACAAACAAACAAGGGTTCCATAGAGGACATACTGACATGTTCAGAGAACTCCAAATTGAGGTATCAAACAAGCAGTTGATACTAGAGAGAACCATCTGGTTCTTTATTAAATATATAAAAGCAACAGAATTGGACTAGGTCTAAAATCTACATTATGTCTAGAGACAGAGAGATGTTCCCTCAGCCTGAGCACTGCTACATTCAGTCCAGACAGCTGTCTATTGAGGGACAGGCCTGTCCTGTGTGGCACAGGACATCTGGCAGCGACCCCAGCCTCCACCGCCCACCCCCCAGTGCCAGAAACATCTCCCCACCTCCAGCATCGACAACCACAAGTGTCTGTGCACTGCTATCAACTTCCAAACTGCAGTTACCACCCGTTGGGATGAGGAAAGAGAAGGCAGGAAAGGAGTTAAGCAGGACAGATGGGCTGAGGAAGATGAAAGGCATGCTATGCGAGAAAACCAGAGTCTAAGGGCAAGAAATGACTGAGTCCATGGTTGATGAGGTTGATGAGGGGACTAGGAGGAAAACAGTATTCAACTTGCTGTTAGCAGGGGACATTAAAAAAAAAAAAAAAAAAAAAAAAGAGGTTTCCTGGTGTGTGGAGGCCACGCTGGGAGAGGGTGAAAGTGATGGAGAGCGCAGGAGCAGGAAGCCGAGGTGGTGAACAAGCTTTCCCAATCCGAGAAACGGAGACGGAGCGCCAGCAACGAGGGCCGGGCGATCAAGAGAATGGAGCTTCTTTCTGTAAAGTGTGTTTGCTTTTACACAGATAGGAATGAAGGATGGATGGGAAAGACTGGTGATCCCGAGAGGGGGACCACTCTGTAAGCAAAGTTGTGGGAATCAGGGTGATGTCAGAGGGGAGGTACATGGAACTCACCGAAAGGAAGGGGACTCTGTCTGTGGAGCCCTCTGTCTTCACAACTCATACGATTTGACTATTAGCTAAGACAGCGGGTGAGTATTTGAAGAAATGTTTGTCTCAGAGCAGGAATGGCTCACCAAGGCCTGCTGTTCTGTGCTGAAAGCTCAGAGCCCTCCTTAACTCTGTAATTATTTATCATGTTTGTATTTTCTTACATAACTATGTACTTTGCAATTGAAAATGGTATGTTCTACAGCTAGGTAACATACTTTTTTTATTTTTACTTTTCTTCCTGATACTAACTGGAGTTCCTATCTACACCTAATGGCTACACAATTAACTATGCTCCTAAAAATGTGTGTGTGTGTGTATGTTTTTATTTATTTATTTATTTATTTATTTATTTATTAGCTTTTGAGACAAGGTCTCATGTAGCATAGACTGGCTTTGAATTCCCCACACAGCCAAGGATGGCCCTGAAGCAAGCACTCTTCTAACTGAGCTACATCCCCAGCCCGTGTCCTGAAAGTGTTCCCATCGCCCATCCTATAGTACTCTTTTAGACACCTGTCTCCCTTCCTCCAGATGGTTTCACTATATCAGAGTTCCAGACCTGAGACTCCTGGGCTCCTGGGTGTTAGTCCTCAGCTGCAGCCACTAAGAGCATCACCTGTGCATATTCACTGTGCCCAACCCCCTTTTTTCCCTTTGTTTTTTGAGACAGGGTTTCTCTGTGGTTTTGGAGGTTGTCTTGGAACTAGCTCTTCTAGACGAGGCTGGCCTTGAACTCACAAAGATCCTCCTGCCTCTGCCTCCCGAGTGCTGGGATTAGAGGCGTGCAGCACCACAACCACCTAACCTCAAGCAATCTTGTTGCCTTAGACTCTCAGCTACAGCAAGCACCATGGCACTTGGTGCCAGACAAATTGCCCTGCCAGAGACGACAGTGAGGGCAGCACAGACATGGACACTCACTCTCTTCACAGCTCCTTCCCCAATGCGCCTCAGCTGCCTTACTTCTGTCCTCAGCTCCTCACAGGACAACCAGCGCGAGCAGTTTCTCATCCGTCCCATCCTGAAGTGACCATGAGGACAGCGCCCAGCATCCTCAGTAGAACGAGGGGAGATGAAAAACTGGTCGAGGCAGAGGTAAAGCAGTACATTCATAAGGGCCATGGCGAGCAACAGCCCAATGCCCCGGGGCACTTCTCTGTGGCTGAGACCTTTCCTGTTCCCATGTTGATGTCCCATGTCAGTTCCTACAATAGAACATGAGACAGGGAGTCGCACCAGTGTCTGTCAATTTCCATGGAGGTGTCCTACGCCAGTAGTGGGCTGAAAGCGGTCACTCCCACTCGTGGGCTCTGTCAGCATGAGTCACTTGAAGGCTTGCACGATCAGCTAAAATGTCTGGGATTTTTCTCCCACAGGAGCTTACACTACATCGATAGCCTGAGTGTGAAGGCGTATTTGCGGTACAGGGATAGAAAATGGACAAGGAGGCTTAGTGTAGTAAGCAGACAAGGGTCTCCTGGAGCTGAGAAGTTAGGGTGCTCCACGGAAGTTACATAAAAGCCCCTGAACAAGCTGGTGATACAGCTCAGGGAGCTTCCAGCATGCGCAAGACCCTGGGCTTGAACCCCAAACACAGCAAAAAACAAAGTATTTAGGCTTCCTTTCTTTTTTTCCTGGCTTGGGAGGTTGAATACAGGTCCTCAGTTAAGATAGCCGAGCGCCCTAGCCTTGACCGATGGCCCAGTGAAAGAGCAAAGGTAACTCTTCAGTGGGGACACAGGTGGCTATGAGGTGCAGAAATTAGCTAGGAGGCCCTGGAGATAATCTGGAGTAAGAGTTAACAAACTTGTGAGTGAGAATAACAGTGACAAGACTTTCTGGAGAGATGACAGGAGATACTGGCAGTAGGGACCCAAAGAATCTAGAACAGAGGTCATTGCAGAGCCATGGCGGAAGGACCATAGCAGAGGGACCCAGAAGGGGACAGACCTGGGATCGACCCTCGAGCAAAGGATGCTTGACCCTCAAAGTGCTGGACAGAGACGCTCCAAGGTGACTGTTAGACTGGGAAGCATGGGGACTGAATCAGTATGGACAAGGCTCTCTTCAGGGGTCTCTTCCTTCCCCCAGCCGGGTCTGGGTCTCCATCCACATGGGTGGGTCCCACATGGCAGCTCACAAGCTCCGTAACCCCATCCCAAGAGACGTGATGGCGTCTTCTGGCCCGTGGAAGTACTGTACTCACACAGTGCACAGACATGCATGCAGGCAAAACACCTACAGGCACAAAGTAAAAAAGAATTATAAAAACATCCCCCAAACTCAGCTTCAAACCTTGTCCCCCAAACCGATCCCTCTTACACAGTTCCTGTCAGTAAGTAAAGAACCTTCCTTCCTGTTTATAAGCCAATGAGTACACGGGTGAAGTGTTCACAGCGACGGGACTACTTCTAATCCCGAAATGTTAGACTTGACAGTTCAGTAGCTTCGCTTGGACAACAGAATAAAATGCTGATGTTTATTCCTGCTGCCACCCGGACGTGCTCAGGAAACCCTTGCCTCTGCCATCACTTTGGTTTCATTCAGAGGCCACCTGGAGGCCATCTTGCCCATTCACCCCATGGTCTGGGGTCTCCCCAACTAGCTCCAAAAGGATGCAGATTCAGATTATTTGGTCAGCTTCAGAGACTTAGCAAATGCTATGGCAACTGTCCCCACCCAGGCAGTTGGTGCTTCTCATTCACACTACTCCTTAAAAAACTTTATATTAATTACTGTGTGTGTTCGAGTGTGGGTAAGCACATGTAAGGTCAGAGGACAGCTTTGTGGAGTTGATTCTCCCCTCTTTAAGTGGCTTCTGGGGATGCAACAGGCTTGTGTGACAAGCACCTTACCCACTGAGCCATCTCTCCAGCTCACCTTTCATAACCTTTAGAGGGACCAGGTGTGTCTAAACCTAGACCTTAGGCCAAAGGGCTGCATTTTTTTTTTTTTTTTTTTTTTGGTAGGAGTCAATGTCAAAATCAAGTGGTAAATTCCTGATCACTGATGTGAAATGCAGAAAGGTGGTCTGATACCATGCATCGTGTCTGTCTCTGGCACTCAACTCTGTTGCCAGAGTAAGTAAGAGCAGCTGCCCCTACAGCGTACAAAAAGAAACCTGTGCTTTCTCACAAAATATCTCTTACCCAACATTTACAAGGCAAAAAGTGGCTGGGAATGCAGCTCACTGGTAAAGGGCTTACTTAGTTCAGGGCTATAAAAACAACAATACAAACAAACAAACAAACAAACAAAAATCAGGCAGTGGAATGCTGATGGCCAAACCTGGTATCAGATGATACTATTCCTTCCAGCGGTTGCTGGATACTCTCACCTCAGGCAGTGTATCCGGTAGCCCTCTAAATGCTCATAATCCCTAAATCTATACTGCAGCCTGGATCTTTCTCCCAACACTCAGTGGGCTCAATGGCTGACCTTGGTGATTCCCTCCTTCCCCAGCACAACCCTTCTCTGGGGCCCCCATCTGACCCTAGGGACACAACTCATCATTCGTATCACAAACACAGTCACTCAATTCCTCCCTCCCTGGACCAGCCCTACATACTTCCCTTTCCTGACTCTGCCTAGAAATGCCACCAGCCCTCTTACCTAGGCTTCTGCAGCCAATTCCTGCATGTTCTTTCTTTGTTCCAATCTATTCTCCACACAGTAGGTAGGATGTTCCTTCTTTAACAAATGTTCCAAAGAAAAAAATAAATAAAATTATGACTATCTGTTCATTTTTTTTGTCAATTTACACTGGTTTTAAATATATTTCAATTTTTAAAAAGCAGTTTTTTTTTGTTCTTTCTTTTGGCAGGGGTGGAGGGGGTGACGGCACTTTGGGGACCCCACCCAGCGTCTTGCACAGCACGTGATCCTCCACCTAGCTATGCTGCACCCCAGCCTGGCCTTTGTAAAAGGAATTAAATGGTATGAGTACAACTGAAGCGCCTTTGAGGCCCTCTCCATCCCCAGCTGTCACCAGCCTTACGATTGCTCTCTGGGATTCTCCAGCCGTGGACCTGGGAACACGAGAAGAAAAGCCATTTCCCAGGTGCTCATTTCATCCCTGCCAATCAGAAATAAAACCAGCTTTTATAGTTCTCCAGATGATCTGGATGAATGCTAAAACCTGAGGCCCTCTGGTGAGCGCAGATAAGCCACCGTGTTCTCCAAGGTCACAAGCCAGTGCCCATAAGTAACTTCTAGGGATTGTGTTGATTCTGGAGATCTCCTCTGCAACTAACATTTTTTTTTTTTTTTTTTTTTTTTCCTCCCTAAGACAGGGTTTCTCTGTATTGCTTTGGAAGCTATCCTGGAACTTGCTCTGTAGACCAGGCTGGCCTCAAACTCAAAGAGATCTTCTGGCCTCTGTCTCCTGAGTGCTGGGATCAAGGGTGTGAGCCACCCAACTCCCAGCACAACTAACGTTTTTTAAGTACAGCAATGATGTTGTTGTCTTAATTTCTTAAATCGTATTTCTTTATTTGAGGGGAGGACACCTGCTAAGGCGTGCATGTGGAGGTCAGAGAACGACTTACAGGAATCAGTTTTCTCCTTCCACTATGTGGATCCCGAGAGTTGAACTCAGGTTATTGGATTTGGCAGCAAGCACCCAACCCAATGAAGCCATCTTGCCAGGCCACCAAATCGTGCTTGGGATTTATCTACTCTGTCACTTTCCATTGACTAGAGTATGACTAATGAAGTAACTCCCCGGCCCAGACAATCTCACTGTGCAGACAGACAGACTATACCATGCACTTGCCTAAGTCTCCCATGTGCTGAATTACAGGCATTCACAACCACCTTGGCGTGAAACAAAACTTGTACACATTTCCTAGTGCGTATGTGGAAGGGTCCCTCTTTGACAGAGAGGGTGATCCTTCCAAACCACAAATTCCTGTCTGGAATTCAAACATTCAATATTCCACTGTGCCTTGAGGAATAAGTCAATTCTTAGACGAGCAGTGACTTGCCGGGGATGTGGACAGTGATGGAGCAAATGCTCAGCCTATGCCAAGATGCAATGTCCTGGGTCTGACTCCCACACCAAGGGGAGTGTAAACCCTGGAAGTGGCCCCAGTTCACCTCTCCAGCTCGCACATGTTCCTTGGTGCTCAAGGAAACCCTTTAGGAGATGTGTAGACGGTGCTCCAAGATGGTTGTCACGGTTCTGTTTGGTTCCCTACCAACTGCAGTGCCTGGCACAGAGCAGGGACACAACTGCACTGACTGGCCAGTCACACCACACGTCACTGTCTTCGTGGCCTCTGCCCCTGAATCGGGTTTTCGGTCCTTTGTGGGACCTGCCCTCATCCAGTTTCACCACACCAATACCATACTTACATCTTCTAAGTGTAAAATCTCTTTCACACACACCCCCACCCCATCTTACCTGTCTACTGGGTGAATGCAAGCTTCACGGAGTCTAGACCTTATACTGTTCCAGAAAGGAAAGGGAGCTCCCTAAGAAAAGAACACACACAGACTGGGCAGAGGGCTCAGTGGGTAAAGTGTGCAGACTCACGCTGAAATCCCAGAGCCCAAGAGAAGCCAGATGCACCTGATCTTCCCTTGACCTATGGTGAGACCAGTGTTGCAAAGAGGCTCTGTAAAGGCTGCTGGGCCAGCTGGCCTGACCTATGGTGGCACACCACAGAGTGATCCTGTCTAAACACAGCACCCATGTTATTCCCTGACCTCCACATGTAGGCCATGACACATGTGTGAAATCCACACACAGGCACACACACTTTCCAGTGCATACTTTTGAATCCCTTCCCTGGATTTTGCAAGGGATTGTGGGAGTGTGGAGAAGCTTCATGATAAATCCACATCCACCACTCTTCAGCCCCATAGTCACTTTCAGGCTCGTGGTTTGGGTAAGTGCCCCCTAAAGGCTCTGTCATTAAAGGCTTGGTCTCTAGCTATTGGGGCTACTGGACAGTGGCAGGATCTTAAAGACACAGAGTCCACTATAAGGAAGCTTCAAACAGTAACAACATCACCTAGAAGGAGATATGGGGACCTCAGCTGCGTCTCTCTGCTTCCAGGATGCCATGAAGTAAGGTCACCTCCTCCGCCACTGTCCTGACCCGTCAGTTTCCCCTTCCGCCACTGTGGTCTCCTGCCATGTGCACACTGACCATAGGCCATAAGCAAAGGCCACCAAGCAAAGACCCACCATGGAATGAACTCCCAAGACCGTGCCCAAGCAAACCCTTCCCCCTTTAAAAGCTGGTGAGAGTGGGGTTGGAGAGATGGCTCAGGGGTTAAGAGCACTGGCTGCTCTTCCAGAGAACCAGGGTTCAATTCCCAGCACCCACATGGCAGCTCACAACTGTCTCTAACTGCAGTTCCAGGAGACCTGGCCCTCACACAGAAATACATGCAGGCAAAAAGAAATAAACAAATAAATCATTTAAAAAAGCTGATCATATCAACTAAAGCTAACATACTCGAATGTTATCAACATCGGGCACAAAGTCTGCAATTCGGAATTTGTATTTTCTTTTTAAGAAAGATTTATTTTATGTGCATTAATGCTTGCTTGCATGCAGTCTATGCACCATGTGCCCTGTGTGGTGACCAGCAAGGTCAGAATAAGCGCTGGATCCCCTGGAGCTGAAACAATGGACAGTGGTAAGACATTAGGGAATCGAACCCAAGTCCTCTGCAAAAACAAGTGCTCTAAACCACTGAGCCACCTCTCCAGTCCCTAGAATTTGTATTTTCAAGTCTATGTTGATCCTCAATACTTTGCAAGCCATTAATGCATTTGTTTCTTATGGACTGTGTTTTATGCCTTGTAGCTAGATCCTCACATTCTGACTCTTAGAAAAAAAAAAAAAAGCAATCACCCTTAAACCCAACTATTCACACAGTATCACACAACATCAAATGCAAAGCATTGAGTGGTTAACACCATCCTTACTCTCATTTCCCAGAGAAGGGACTCAAAGGTGAAGATGCCCATCCAAGAGCTACACCGTGTATGTGGAAGGGCTGCCTCAAATCCCCATCCTTCCTGTGTCTTGCAAAGGTCAGGAGCAAGCAGGCTTGAACCCAGTGGTCACTGGAGGGGGGCGGGCACGAATGGTCATTGGAGGGGGCGGGCACCCAGGCTGGGGCCTGGAGCTTAAAGGAATATGCTCTGGCACTGTTTAAACACCAAGGTTGTTTGATAATGGTAGGAAAGGGCCAACTGCTGTATGCTCACTGCTTAGACAAAGAAAATAAGGCAACTAAATGAACTGCTAATATGCAGAATATTTTACACCAATACAATTCGGACTAAATCTCACTTCCCAATACTTATTTTAAATATTCTGGATGTTATTTAGTTTGCACAGGCAAAGGGTGGGGACATCATAATTTCTAAAAGTTTAAATGTTGCTTTTTTAACAAAGAAAGAGGGAAGGAGAGAGAGAGAGAAACAGAGACGGACAGAGACAGAGACAGGGAGGGGAAGAAAGCAGGAGCACTGTGCACAGTCTCAGATCACACAGTTCAGTAGCTGCGCCTGGCGAGATCCGGAGGGGGTGCATCGAGAGCACCCGGAGTGGGTGTGCACGGTAAGCACCCAGAGTGGGTAAGCACCCGGAGGGGAGCCCGGTGATCACCCGGAGGAGGGATGTACAGTAAGCATCTGGAGGGGCTGCTGCCACCACTTGCTCCAAGGCAAGGCCCAGCTGAGCCCCGTGAGAGCCGCGTAATCCCACCCTAGAGCTGAGTCGAAGGTCCAAGCTTGGAAAGGCCCCACAGAACCCCGCCCTGTCCCACCACTCCCCTTAGCCTACCTGGCGACCACCAAACCCGGCTCGAGGCCCACGACGCCTGCGCGGCCGGAAGCGGACCGAGACCAGCGCGAGGCTGCCCCCTGGTGGCCGCCTCCCGCCGCACGCTGGATGCCCGCGGCTGCGCAGGCGCTCTCGCCTAGCATCAGGTTCTCTGGATTTGAAAACCGCATGTAATAGTAACTTTAGGGCTTTGACTTGAGACACAAAGCTGAACTTCACAGATTTCAGGTTCAAGCCTCAAGCTGGATATATATTTAAGTAATGTCAAGGTTGGGAGATTTCAACGGGCTCAAATATCTGCACTTGATGTGAAAGGAGAGAGGGATGGGGTTGTGAAATGGAAAGTCAGCAGTAACACTACCTAATTTGTTTGTTTAAAATATACATATCATCTGCTTCTAAACTCACCTAATTTCCAGGTTTGAAATCAAGACAGTGCAGCATTTGGATTTTAAAAAACCCATCTGTGCTTATTATCCAAACAGTGAACAAAACAACAACAAAATACTCTGTAAGCCACTTTTGCCTCTCAGACTGTGTGTGTGTGCACAAAGGCCAGGAATGATAGATATACCCATGGAGCCTGTCTTCTGTCCCGAGTATGATCCCTCCCCTGCCTGCTGCTAGATCTTCCTTGAAATGATGGCCTGTATCCCACTGGAAGAGTAAGCCAAAGTAATAAACCTGTTTTCCCTTAAATTTCTTTTAACAGTGTTTTTTTGTCACAGTGACTAAGACAACGGCTAAGGATGGAGAAACAACCCCATGCCTTAGAAATATGTATTTAGTGTTGTAGTGTCGCCATCTAGGCTGTTTTGTTTTTACTATGATGCTGCTGAAAAATACAGAGAAGGTATTTTAGGCGAATTTCAAATACGAGTGATTTAGGAGATTCACAAGTGACAAATACTGATAGAAGATGTAAGAAAAAATTAGTGTTAGTAACTTGATATATTTTCTGTATTTAAAGCCATTCGTAGTTTACATGGAAAAAATGCTTCACAGTAATCTCATTAGCTGCGGTTTGGTGTGCTAACACTGAAAGTCCCTTATGGACTGCTGCTCCAGCTACAAACCTCGTCCAGCCACTCACTCTCACCTTCCTGCAGGTGCAGTCAGCGGCAGAAACAGAAATGGAGGAAGTTCATTTCTACCTATAGTGCAAGTTCTCCCCACTCAGGGTTAACGGAGTCTTTGATTTGCTGCCACATGCTTCTATAGAAGGTGGCTCGGACCTGGAGATGGCAGCCAGCACTAAGTTTCCTCCTACAGCAGTTTCCCAGTTCCAGTCCAGGCAGCAGCAACTGCTGTTATTGTATGGCATGGGTTTGGGATATACTTCTAGAAGATGAGGCAATCACTGTTTAAATTATCTTGAGTACATTTTGTTGATTATAGTTAAAATGGACCTAGTCCCATTTTAACAAAGTCACATCTCCCTCACCACAATCACAGAAAAAAAAAAAAAATATATATATATATATATATATATACACACACACACACATACATACATATATATATATATATATTGGTGCCATTTTTAAAACAAGAAGGCCACACTCTAAACTGGCCTGAGCCTCTCTATGTAGTCCAGGCTAGCCTCAAACTTGCAGCAATCCTCTTGTCTCAGCCTCCCAAGCACTAGGTTCCTTGTTTGTTCTAAACTAATAAAATGTCCAAACAAACCAAACAACTACAGTATTGTTTATAGGTACATGTGATTTTATTATAAAACCTTTCTTTTGGCATTAGTTGGTTACAGTGATAGCAAGATACCGTGAGTGTGGCACAGCACAGCAGCTCTAGTCAACAGTTGCAGTCCCTGTTTAATGCACCAAGATTTAAATTACTGCAAATCAATAACATAGTTGCCTTCAGTCACTCCCAGCACAGAGCCTTGCACACACACCTTTCCAGAGGAGTAGATTCTACAGGACTGGATTAAATGTTGGTAAGACTACAGAAGCAGCAGTTTCTTTGCGGGAAGGTCACCATCCTCCCCTCCAATGACCTTGCTTCACAAGAACTTATTTCTTAGAGCTAGTCTGAACAGCATCAGCACACAGGAGTATCACACTTAGTTCTTGTTAAAAACAGCACCTGGGCAACAAGTTTAGCGCACAGGCAAGGGATGGTCGCTCTAGTTTTACACTCCTGCATTAGAGGCCCTTAGAAAGAAAGTGGCATCCACTTCGTCCAGATGCCCAGTGCTATACACTCGTCGGTATGTCACTTTCTCTGCTGTGTTTACTCTGAAGAGATCTTCCAATATATCTCCAATATTCCTTTCTTATAGTGTCCTTTTCTTTAGCTAGGATCTCACATAACTGAAAAGGAAAGATAAAAATGTATTTGAGTAAATGTCTAGTTCAACTTCAAGGGCATATGGCAATTTAACGTAGGCTATATGCAAATGAGACATCTTACAACAGCTACATTGCCAACACAGTACTGCCGAGAAACTATGTGAAAAGTGGCATCGAGAGCAGTGGCAATGGACAGAGCCACTTCTCAGACACTGTTCTGCACTACTTACCTCTAATGCTTTGTTAAGGATGTCCTCCTTGTTGTCACATTGGTTTTCTAGCATGTCTTCATAGATATCCACAAGAAAGGCAATTAGGTAGGGGGAACTGTGACTTGGTTGTAAATCGAGCAGTTGATTTAATAGGTTAGGGTATCTAGAAAGACCACGATCCTGCAAAATCCTAAAACAAAACAAAGCTCCATTCTAAGAGAGCACACACAAACGGAAGGAGAAAGAAAGAAAGCCCCAAGACAAAAGCAAGGAAAGATTTGTTAGAGACAATGAGGCTGGAAAAAAAAAGAATTTTAAGTTATATGGGTCTTATCAATGGTGACCTAAAGTGGAGTGAAATTAACTTAAAGTACAATAAGCTGACTGAGGATGTGGTTCAGTTGGCAGAGTACTTGCCTAGCATGCACAAAGCCCTGAGCTCAGACCCTAGCACCACATAAGCGAGGCATGGTGATGCATGCCTATCTCAGCATTTGGAAAGTGGGGTAGAGAATAAGTTCAAGGTCACCTTCAGCTTCATGGTCTGACAGTCTGGTAGAAATGAGATCACCTTAAAAAGTTTTCAAACAATCATTTATAACTTAACATGCTTGAGACAAAATTAAAATAATTTTCTTAATTTATTTTTATTTTGTTGGTGTTTTGCCTGCACATATGTCTGTGTGAGGATGTAGGATCCTAGAGTAGGATCACAGCAGTTGTGAGATGCCATATGGGTGCTGGGAATGGAACCCAGGTCCCCCGGATTAGCAGTCAGTGCTCTTAACCACTGAGCCATCTCCCTAGTCCCAAGAACTATAAAAAAGAATAGGAGAGATGTCCCTGCTTCTTTTTGAGACCGTTCTTCAAACCTTCAGCTATTTAGGGGATCATAGGTCCCAGTGAACCTCCAAGTGTGACTAGGCCCCATGTCATGCTCTCTGGGCCTATCAAGGGCCAGGCTTAGGAACATTTTTATTTTAAGAGTAAGACTTGTCACTGGACACTGGAAGTACAAAGGTTGGTCATCCATTTGAGTAACTTGTCAAGTTTACTCTGCACTGCTGTACTGAGCCCATAAGAGTACACATGAGTGTGTATTCCATTCTTTAACACAAACTCTAAAGGCTTCAGCACTTAGAAAGCAAATCACTAGAGGAGTTATAAATACTATTAAAATGCACCGGCATTTCTGTGTTGATGTGAGCCTAGAGGTGAGAAGGGGAAAGACAGGGGGCATAATTGTGCCTGGGGATTACTATGGCCATGCTTTACTTCTACTACTAGACACACCGACACAGGGACTCCCCTAGCATTCTTTTAGACCTGGTTATGGAGCATATTCCATCATGTTGCTAGCAGCCTGGTGGTTCTCTTATGAAAAAAAAAAAAAAACAGTAAAAATAGCCTCTTACCCTTTCAAGTAGTTCCATGCACTTTCATTATGTGGAACTAATTTGATCATTTCCAGAGTATACCTGTAAGGAAAAAATATTGTTTTAAAAGAACAGATCAAGTAGATATAGTTTCAGCAACACTGACATGTGCATTCCCATTTCCCTTCTGTCAGGCATTCATATGGATTCTGCCACTGGAAACTGGTACCACTGGAGTGCCAACTAGATAAGAGAACTCGAGTATGCAGTTGTCAGCCATTCTCAACACTGCCCCTTCCCCCACAAAAAGGAATGGGGTTGGAGGAACAGCTCAGTAGTTAAGAGTGGCCGCTCTTTCAAATTCCCAGCACCCACAAGGCAGACAGATCACAACCATCATAACTCCAGTCCCAGGGATACAAGACCTTCCTTTGTCTGCTCCAAGCACTGCATATATGTGATATACAGGCATACATGTTGACAAAAAAATGCATGCACATAGAATAAAAGGATTGTTTTCGTTTTTAATTATGGGAGGGCTGGAGAGATGGCCTGGTAGTTCAGAGTGCTTCCTACTCTTCCTAAGAAACTGAGTTTGGTTCCTAGCATTCATGTTGGGCAGCTCACAAACATCTGTTACCCAGCTCCAGGGGATCTGAAGTCTTTGGTCTCTGCAGACACCTGCACACAGGTGGCACACACACACATACACACACACACACAAATAAAAACATTAGTCTTAAAAGATTTGACTTTGGATTTTTGAAAAAGAAAAGAATATTGAAGATTTTCCTCATGAAGTAAATGTTAGCTAAAAAGGAGATTTGTCTTTGATTGGTACAGCAACCTGGGGTGACAAATCAAAGGTCAACTTATACCTAAGAAATTTGACATTATCTTAGGAACTAAAAGAAATGGCAGGGAGCTGGGGGAGGAAGAGGCAGGCAGATCTCTGAGCTCAAGGCTAGCCTAGTCTACAAAGCAAGTTCCAGGACAGCCTGGGCTTATGCAATGAGATCTGCTTTGTATGGAATATTTAACAATGTAAAGATGTATTACATTTATTTATGCTGAATTTGTTTAACAATATATGGATGTGTGTTTAATCCTGTAAAGAAGTGTTGCATTTGTTTATGCTGTGAGATATTACTTTAACTGTGTAAAAGTGTGTTACATTTGTTTATGTTGAATTTATTTAATGATGTAAGGATGCGTGTTTAATTATGTAAAAATGTGTTGCATTTGTTTTACCTCACCTGCCTAAGGCACATGACTGGTCTAATAAAAAGCTGAATGGCCAATAGCTAGGCAGAGGGGGAGAGGAGGAACTGGTGGACAGAGAGAATAAATAGGAGAAGGAGAAGAGAATGAGGGAGAAAGACAGGTACACACACGGGGCCTGAAGCCAGGCAGTCCCCAGACAGACTGACACAAGAAGCAATGAAAGTAAGGAGGAAGGAAAAAGGTGAGACACTTGGAGGCAAAATACAGATGAAGACAAACAGGTTAAATTATAAGAACTAACAAGAAACAAGCATAAGCTAAGGCTGAGCATTCAACATTCAAAACTAAAAAATATTCTAAGTCTCCATGTCATAATCTGCATAATATGCCTGGTACAAAGACCATGTCTCAAAAGGAAAAAAAAGAAAAAAAAAAATATGGGTGTGATACAGTAAAAAAAAAAAAAAAACAAAACAAAAACAAAAACAAAAGAAAACCAGTGTGGTGGCACAGGCCTGTAATTCTAGCACTCATAAGAGGCAGAGGCAGGAGAACTAGAAGTTGTCCAATAATCTATCAGTCCCTGTAACGAGTTCTAAGCTAGTGACAGGTGAGACTTTGTCTCATGAACTAAAAACAACACAAACCTTTGCGCATACAAAACAATACCTATAGTAAAAAGTTGTGCATCAATGTTTTCAAATATATTTACAAAGCTTGAAGGGACAGACATAATTGTAGCTCATTCTAGAGTGAGAATTAAGATCTTTTTACAATTTTATTTTTTTCAGTAAGAGTCTCAACTAGCCCAAGTTGGCCTGGAACTTGCTAGACAGCAAAAGATGACCTTCAATTTCTGCCTACATCCCCTAAGTTTGGAGCACACAGGTGTGTATCACCCCACCACACTTGGTTTTGTGCAGTGCTGGATTTCAAACCCTTGGCTCTGTAATGCTAGGCAATTGCTTTACCAACTAAACTACAACCCCTTTATACTTAACTCTCAGTATAATTTTCTCCCATAAATATGCTATACTCCTTTTATAATAAAAACGGGGAAAAAGTAAACAAACGATTTTCAGATCTATGTAACTACCTATCTTCTTAAGAGTTATAATTTTTATTAACATACTAAAAATTATTGATAAATACATCCATTACTAACACTTGAAATACTATCTTTTACATCTTTAGGGAATTTGCCACACTTAGAAAAAACTCAGATTCTTGATTATTTCTCTGGAATATCAGAAGGATAAGAAGAGAGGATGTACTTTCAATATGCTTTATATTCAGTATTTTTTAGTTCTTTTAAAAACTAACCTAATGAATAGACAGAAATTTCTCATCTTAAGCCCACTATTTATTTGGATCAAGAACAGACTCTCGAGTGTGGCACTGCTTGCCCAGAATCCTAGCACTCAAGAAACTGAGGCAGGACAGGAAACTCTCAAGTTCAAGACCAGCCTGGCTACACAGCAAGACCTTACTTTAAAAAGGGATCATGGAATTGGCTCAGAGGTTAAGAGCACTTGTTACTCTTGCAGAGGACCAGCCACACACAATCTTCCATAACTCCAGTTCCAAGGGATCTGATACCCTCTTCTGACCTCCATGGGCACTAGGCACACACATCACACAGAGTCATACATTCGGGCAAAACACTCACATATACAATAAAATAAATAAATCTAAAAAAAATTTAAAAGTCAAAACCAAAACAAATGCCAACTATGCACGCTGAAAGTGTGAAACAGACACCGAAACAAAATGAACAAATAAGGTTATAAGGGGAGGGACTATTAATGTTTACCGACATAAAACTCTTTCCAATTTAAAAATCTCCTACTCCTTTCAGCTTTACTTACAGCACCTCTCAGTACATGCATGTGTGATTTTCCCACAAAAGATACATTTGGAAATGTCCGGAGCCATCCTTGTTTAAAGCCAGGAGCGTCACTCAATGGACAGTGCTACTTCACGCCTGTCCAACCAAACCTAACATGAGACTAACATGGCATTTGGAACAGCTATCTAAAATTCAGAATACAGTGAAAAATAGATCCAGAACGAAACTTTCTAGCATTATGAAACTGGACTTCTTCATAATCTCTAGAAGCAACAAGCCAAGAAATTAAGGGGCTGCAACACAGAGATCTACTGCATTACATGCAAATTTCTCCCTGACATGTGGCTTCCCAAATGTAGACCTGGGGAAGTCTTGCCTTTGCAGTATCTGAGTGGCTGAGACATGACAGGCATGCACACTTTAATATGAAGGCCTGAGTGAAGCACAATACTAACTGGACTTCTCTCTCCAGCACGGCACGGTCACTGTAGCCAGTGGTATTAGAAATGACGAAGTGTCTTTGGTTCCAGACAGAGTTATTTCTCACATCTTCTTTGAGAAGCTGGTCTACATACTGTAGCTCATTATCCCATAGTCGAAATTCCTAAAAGTTAAAAAAAAAAAAAAAAAAAAAAAAAAAAGTCCAGTTAGAAATGTTCTACTAGCTGGGCATTGGTGGCCCATGCCTTTTAGTCCCAGCACTTGGGAGGCAGAGGCAGGCAGATCTCTGTGAGTTTGAGACCAGTCTGGTCTACAAGAGCTAGTTCCAGGACAGGCTCCAAAGCCACAGAGAAACCCTGTCTCAAAAAAAAAAAAAAAAAAAAAAAAGAAAGGGAAATGTTCTACTATTTATAACAATAACAAAAAATTAAGCAAAAGCTAAGAAAGTAGACTAAAGATAAAGACAAGGGGGGTTATCACATTTGAAGAGCAATCTGTGATCCCGGCATTCAGGGAGTGGAAGCAGAAGGATTAGAAATTCTAGCTCATTCTCAGCTATGTAAGCTCAAGGCCAAACTGGGCTATATAAGACACACTGTCTCAAACACAAAAGAAAAAAAAAATTAAGCATGGACACCACAAAGACACAGACTAAACAAACAGAAGTCATTAAAGAAAATTTAGATGGAAAACAAAAACCAATAACCACACTCACTAGTAAAAGACTAAATAACTTTACAAGCACCCAAATTAATGTAACTAATACATAATATTAAATAAAGAGCAGCACAACAAAATGTGTGTGTAGGCTGGAGTGGGAGCACACACCCATTATCCCAGCATTCAAGAGGCTGAGGCAAAAGGATCAGGAGTTCAGGGCTACCTTGGGCAACAGTTTGAAACCTTGTCTCAAAAACCAAAAAACAAAACAAAACAAACAAAAAACCCAAAATATGTAAGTAAAAATTTAAAAGTAAATGCATGATAAAATTACCTAAAATACATGTAGAGAAATACACAATTGTATTGTATTGAAGTTTTACTTCACAGTTAGGGCATTTCAAAAAAGCGCACGTATTTTTATTTCTTATTTGACACTAGCAAGAGTAAGAATTTCAGTAAGCTGATTTCTGATTTTAAAAGACACATTGAAAATAAGAAACTAAGAGACCATTTTGGTGAAAAATTCAAGGAATGATGAAGGTAAGTGCTATTCATGTGGCTGGCCATTAACAGTAGGCACCCCAAATAATGCCCACCATACCCACAGTAAGCACTCCCAAATACAGTCCCCCATACCCACAGTAAACACTCCCAAATACAGCCCCCCATACCCACAGTAAACACTCCCAAATACAGCCCCCCATACCCACAGTAAACACTCCCAAATACAGCCCACCATACCCACAGTAAACACTCCCAAATACAGCCCCCCATACCCACAGTAAACACTCCCAAATACAGCCCCCCATACCCACAGTAAACACTCCCAAATACAGCCCACCATACCCACAGTAAACACTCCCAAATACTGCCCACTATACCCACAGTAAGCACTCCCAAATACAGCCCACCATACCCACAGTAAACACTCCCAAATACAGCCCCCCATACCCACAGTAAACACTCCCAAATACAGCCCACCATACCCACAGTAAACACTCCCAAATACAGCCCCCCATACCCACAGTAAACACTCCCAAATACAGCCCACCATACCCACAGTAAACACTCCCAAATACAGCCCACCATACCCACAGTAAACACTCCCAAATACAGCCCCCCATACCCACAGTAAACACTCCCAAATACAGCCCCCCATACCCACAGTAAACACTCCCAAATACAGCCCACCATACCCACAGTAAACACTTCCAAATACTGCCCACTATACCCACAGTAAGCACTCCCAAATACAGCCCCCCATACCCACAGTAAACACTCCCAAATACTGCCCACTATACCCACAGTAAACACTCCCAAATACTGCCCACCATGCCCAAGCACCACTGCTTGGACAAACACCGGCTTACCTGATTTATTTTTAATTACTTTTCCCTTCATTTTTATCTCATGTGTATGAATATTTTGCCTGCATACATGTCTGTGTAGCATGTACATGGAGGCCAGAAGAGAGCATCAAATCCTCTGGGACTGTAGTTACAGACAGTTGTGATCTGCTATGTGGGAACTGGGAACCAAATTTAGTCTTTGCAAGAGCAGTCAGTGCTCTTAACCACTGAGCCTTCTCTCCAGCACCATCTTACATGATTTTAAGGATGTGATTGTTTCACTTTCAAACTGAAGACGAGATCTTTTTTTTTCATTTTTTTATTTTTGAGACAGGATCTTATGTAGCCCAGGCTGGCCCTGAGTTCTTGATCCTCCTGCTCCTATTTCCCATGTGCTGTACCAGGCAAGTGCCACCATACCCAAGAGGACACAGTATCTCTTTCCATTTTATTTCATATGATAAACGTAAGATTTTCTCCAGTTTTCAGAATTCACTTGTCTCCTATTATAGCTGAAAATAATCTTGCCTTCTAAAAATTGGGTTGAAAACATGAAATCATATGTACTGAATATAAAAAAAATGAGAAACATAAAACCAAACATATCGAATGTAGAAATAGGAGAAACATAAAACCATACATATAAAATGTAAACATAGAAGAAAATTTAGTTATTGGAACTTAAAAGCTACAATATAACCAAAGTGTCTCTTGAACTCCTGTCTCTTGGAACCTGACAATTCAGTAAAAATCATACTACATGGGGTGGCTTTTCAAAGACATTGGTAATACTGTATTTAAGTTGTTGTGGTAGGTAGACAGTCATGGGTGTGTATTTGTGTGTGGTACATAGTTTTATGTAATCACAATTTTCTTTTCTCCCTGTCTGGCCTAGAATTTGTTATATAGACCAGGCTGACAGAGATCTGCCTGCCTCTGCCTCCTTGAGTGCTGGGATTGCAAGTATGAAACTACTATAGCCAGTTTACAAAACCAGATGACTATTAGGGCTCGGGGTATAGCTCAGCTGGTAGACTGCCTGGCATGCACACAGCCAGACTGAGTTCAGTCCCCAATAGCACATAAAACTGATGTAGTGGTGCATTCATGGAATCCCAGCACTTGGGAAGCAAAGGCAGGAAGCCCAAAAGTCAAGTGAGCACACAGCAAGTTCAAGGCCAGCCTCGTCAACATGAGACTGCTTACCTAAAAACGACTTTTAAAAAAAATGCAAATACTGAATAGTTGTATCCCTCTCTAATTAAATATGAAATTTAAATTTAAATAAATTTTAAAAAACTGTGATAGCATGGGGACACATGCCTTTAATCCCAACATCCAGGAGATGGAGGCAGGTGGATCTCTGAGTTTGAGGCTAGCCTGCTCTAGTGAGTTCCAGGGCTACTACATAATAAGATACAATGTAAATTTATTCTCAAATTTCTTTAAAATTTGCTATTACTTTTCTTTAATGTAAAAGCAACATATCCATAGAGATTACAAAAGATACCTGACATGAAGAAAGTCAGGCTTCAAGCATCTTAACAGGCGTCGGATTATATGTGCACAATATCCATGTGTGCTCTGTTTAGACACACACTTAGACTCTAAGAAAGGTAATACCTGAATGACCCACTGTCGATGCTGCCAGGCATGATAATTTTTTGCATCCTGATTAAGGATATCGGCAATGAACTCAAGCTCTTGAGAGGGATCTTTAAGCCATTCCACTAATACTCTCCTATGGTGCCTGTCCAAAGAAAATAGGGAAAAGCTTGGGTTAGCTAAGAACTGACACATAGGCTACAGGTGCTGCATTAGATGAAGGAAGAGGACATTCAAGAGGTACAAATTCTCAAAACTGCTTGGAAGAATTTAACAGTGACAGAGAAGTCCAGCACACTGGGAGTTGAGAGGTACAGACAGTGACCAATGTACACAAGCAGGTATCTAGGGCACATGGATGACTTCTCTCAAGTCAGACTTGCAAGTACACTAATCTTTACACAGCCTAGGATTTTTGTTCAGGAATTCTGAAGCACAGCACATAGATTAATGAGAGATGTAATATTAGTTCACCCAATCTAACCATTCTCTACTTAAAACTAGTCAGTTATCACTATGTTCAAAATGTCACCATACAAGTGATTTTTCATTCTACCAGTTTATAGTAGAACTTACTTCTGACCTAGAAAATATATAACTAGGACAAGTCATACTTTGTCACAAGACCAATTTCTGTGTTAGAAAGAATTACATTTTATCCTGGGTTCCATTTTTAGTTTTCCTTACTCTAAAAAGTTTAACACATCTAAGATTCTAAAATGCACCATGAGGCTTAGCAGTTAGCTCAAAGCTAGATCACTGGCCTAGTATGTGTGACACTCTGGGTTCCACCTCCACACCACTAGGAAAAGCCAGTATCACTGTGGTAACACATACCTGTGAATAGTCTAGAAGGGCCTCTGATTTTATATGCTATGTATATATGCGTATGTGTGAAATGTACTAGATACTGATCTTTTAAAAAATCCACATGGCTTTTTCTCACTACCCCTACTACTCATCCACCACCACAGCACACAGTAAGAGTGGCAGCGGCGCCTGCTACTCAGGTAGTCTGTGATGAGCAGGATCCAAACTCTGATCCTTTCTTTTTGTTGTCAGTGCCCCTGCTCCCTGGTGAAAGACCTTAGGGCAATGGAACTGTGCTCTAGCAGGGCATGTCTGGGCACAGCTCCCCTTTCCCTTTCTGCTCCTCTTCTCTGCTCTCCCCACCATAAAAATCCTACATTACAAACCATGCTATCTCATACAAAGGCACCCTATGAAAATCCCTACCATCCTGTTTTTCATAATGCTCCTAAAAGTAACTGTTTTCGTTATTCATGCTCACCTTTGACTGTTTCTAGTTTCTCTGGATCAAGACTAATAAGCATTTTTAGTTAAGTGAATAAAGTATCAAATGTAAAAAAGTTACTTTATACTGACTAGAAAACAATGTTCAGATTTCTCCTACTCCAGCAGTGCTGGCTGCTCCTGAGGTTAAAACTGACAATGATGCCAGAACAGTCTCCAAAGCTACACAGAAAACCCTGTCTCAAAAAAAACAAAACAAAACACTTTACAATTCTATGAGGCATGTAACAGTTTGAACGTAAAGTACTAATATGATAAAAAAAAAAAAAAAAAAAATCTCAGCTTCCAGCGTAAAATCTACTCAGAGTGAAATATGTCCTTCTGTTTTCCTCTTACCAAACTTGATAGTTTTTGGGCTGCTCCTCAATTATTGCAGTGATGTAGTTCATTTCCTCTTGTAGATCTTTTTGAAGTGACCTTAAGAGAACCCTTCGAAAATGCCTATAGCAAAACACAAGCATTCAGACTGTTACTCTACACAAGCTGCCTAGCAAAAGTACCAAATAAAGATATAAGACAATAATACAATATACACACACACACATACACACACACACACACACACACACACACACATACATATATATACACACACACAACAGTCTGGTACTATTTACCCAACCAATAATTTAGCAATCTAAGAGCTTATAATTGACCAAACTCATACATCTAGAACTGAAAAGAATCAAACATTTCATGTGTAAACAGAGAAGCATACAACAAATACAAAATAAAGAAAAAGGAGTTTTGAGCTTTAAGGGATGGGAAGATAAGTAACTAAAATGTTATTTTCAGGTAATATTCTCGTTTTGGCATTCTACAATTTTAGAATTCTAAGGGACAGTTTGCATACATGCACTATGTAATAACCAACTATATTACAAATATTATCAAGATATTGCAGTTACAGAACCACCACCAAAATGTTACTTACAAATAAAATAAATCTTTCTATAGGGCATAAAATAAATCTTTCTACAGGGCATGCTGACACGTCTTTAATTCCAGCACCTGGAAAGCACAGGCAGGTAGAGTTTCAAGTTTGGGCCAGCCTGGCCTACAGAGTTCCAAGACAGCCAGGCTACACAGAGAAACCCTGTTTTCAAAAACCCAAAACCAACCAACCAACCTACAAACCAACCAAACAAAAAAGTGCTCTGAACCACTGAGCCATCTCTCCAGACCTATGCCAAGCATTTTATCCACACAATCTTTTCTAAGTTCTCTTCTACTCAAGGATGTTCTCTATAAAATAAACTAAATCAAGAAAAACAATTGGGTGTGGTAGTTTATACCTTTAATCCTAACACTGGGGACAGGGTGCATGTGTGCAGAGACAGGCAGATTGCTGTGTTTATGACCTGCATGGTCTGCATTATAACACCTTGAGATTTTCTTTGTCTTTTGTTTTTTAAAAAACAAAAAATAGTAAAAGACAAAAGACAGCCAGGTGTTGGTGGTGCACACCTTTAGTCCCAGTCCTGAGGAGGCAGAACAGGAGGATCTCTGTGAGTTCGAGGCCAGCCTGGTCTACAGAGCGAGTTCCAGGACAGCTCCAAAGACTTACATGTCACAGAGTCTAGGAGAGGAATTACTTATTGGCACATAGGAAGCTAAACCAAACAAAAACAGAAATCTCAGTTGTATATGCAGCTCTATAGGCAGAATGTTTGCCTAGCATGCATGGAACTGGACATGGGGGCACATAGCTAGAATTTCAGCACCCAGGAGGTAGATATAGTATCATCACAAGTCATCCTTAGCAACCTACTGAGTTAAAGGTCAACCTGGGCTATCCACTAAAGGACTATAAGGACTATACTATAAAACATGGACAGCATGAAGCATAACTCCTCTGTTATAGAAATAAGCACAGTGAACTCTGCAGCTTTCACAGAATTATGTTGACAATGCAAAAAAAAAAACAAAAAAAAAAAAAAAAAAACAAAAAAAAAAAAAAAAAAAAAAAACCAGTAACAGTGTTATCTGGTACAGAGAAGTTAATTCAAGAAAATGGGACTCTGGTAGCACAAAAGGATGGAGAAGGGATTGTTATTTTCCATTCAACAGACTTTAAGGCAAATATGTAAATTATTTTGATGAAAATTAAAATTCAGTTAAAAAGGAGTCACTTGGACTCAAACATGAGTCCTGCTAGCAGTAACTATTAATGAATTCTATTACGTACCACACTGTATAGTTGGCTGCATTTAACTCAATAGCATCCCGGGTGAGCTTAAAGGCTCGCTCACTTCTCTCATCTCGCTGCAGAACAGCTCGGAAGTAATCATAAACATCTCTAACTGGAGGCAGAAGAGACAAGTCCATCAGGGTCACTTCTGTTAACACCAGCTCCAAAGCTCATTACACTCACATGTATGTATTAGCTAGCTGCAGGGAGCACCACAGCTCCAAAGCCCATTACACTCAATGCATGTATTAGCTGCAGGTAGCACCACAACTCAAAAGCCCATTACACTCACATGTATGTATTAGCTGCAGGGAGCAAATGCAGTCAAATGGTTGGGCCGTTTTATCATTATATTATTAATTTTTTTGAGATAGTGTCTCATGTATACCAGGTTGGATTCAAACTTGTTATATAACTGAGGCTGGCTTTGAACTCCTAATCTTCCTGCTTCCCAAGAGCTAGGATTACAGTCATGTACCACATCAGCAGAGGCAAATGACTGTGAGTACCATTAAAACAATACTCAATGTCACAGATCCAATGCATGAGTTATATAAGTCTAATCATGCTTGCCACATGTATTATAGGTTAATGCCAAACTAAATCTCCCAAATACCTTACGTAAAATTCATGTTATAACAGCTCTAAATTTTCTTAATGGTTATATAGTTCCTAAATTTTACTTTTAATCTACTTCTGAGATATACAGGTGGTTTTCTTGATCTCTCGGTTTCAAAAATGCTGCATATGTTAACAACTGATATTCCTGGTGCTGACTATGAGCCAAACACTGTACTAGCATGCATGCTAAAAATTCACTCACTCTCTAAAACAGTTGCTTTCACTGTCGTCATTTACATTTTTCCATGGGTGCTGACTACAAAGAGGTTAACTAATGTGTTCATGAACAGTGATCCAGTAAGAACACACCAGATTTAAGCCAGGTGGTCAGACTCCAAAGTCTATACTCTTAAGCCTCAGCACATCGCTTTTTAAAAAGACTTAATTTTATTTTCATTTAGTGTGATTGTGTGTACTCAGGTATCCATGGAAGCCAGAAGAGGGTGCCATAGCCCCTAGAGCTGGAGTTACAGGGGGTTATGAGCTGCCTCATATAGCTGCTGAAAAACTCAAGTCCTTCCTTTGCTCCCGTCTACATACCATCTCTTTGGCAACTCACTTATACCAAAGGACAACGTGAACTCAGGACACATATTAGACATGACTCAGCAGTTAAGGGCTCCTGCTGCTCCCACAGAGGACCTGGGTTTGGTTCCCAGCATCCACATGACAGCTCACAACCCTGTATAACTCCAGTTTCAGAAGTTTCTATGCCATCTTTTGGCCTCCTTGGATAATGCATGTGGTAAACAGACACACATACAAACAAAAACAGTCATCTATATAAAAGTAAATCTTAAAAAAAAACTTTAGCATTCAGTTATAAGGCCCAAGTACTTCCTAATTTTTCAGCTGTATTGCACCGCTTTCCAAAAAATGCCAGCCATTTGAAAACTATGTGTCATCACCACAGATAGAACTTAAGACAGTTTCAACTTTAGATGTCACTTCATTCATATGTCTATGTAAGTTCTTATTTTATTTTTCAGAACTTTTATCTTCAATAGTAGATTTTCTTATTTAATGGCTAATGAACTTTCATTTTCTGTGGCTTTTCAGCTCATTTTTTTAATGTTTTCTTCTTATTCTTGTCTAAGAGTTCCAAATTCTGATTATCAGTCCTGATTTTTATAATGTATCTTTTCCCATAGTGTTTGCTTTTTAACTTATGGTTCTGCTACTGTGTATGCTTTACACTTTTGTATATTTACCTTCCAACTCTGATAGGTTTAATTTATTGTGCTGGCTACTTTTTCTGCCAACTTGACACAGTTAGGGTTATCCAGGAAGCTGGAAACTTCAATTGAGAAAATACCTCCACCCAGCACTCAGGAGGCAGAGGCAGAGGCAGGTGGATCTCTGTCAATTCAAGGCCAGATCTTTATAGTGAGTTCTAGGTCAGCCAGAGCTAAAGTGAGACTCTGTCTCCCTCCTGCCCCCAAGAAACCTTACAAATCTAAAAAAGTTGTGGTTTACATTCTTTTAAATCACTAGTGAGGTAAAAAATTTCTATGTAAATATTTCTATTTCTTCTAAAAATATGTGGCAATAATTCAGAAAGCATTCTCATGTAGTTATACTCTGAAAATTTCCTTAATAGAGTATTTTATATCTAATCTCATTAATGCCTTCATCACAATAAACTAAGTATTATTTTCTTTGCTTGTCCTGTTACAGATGATTGACAACGTCTCTTGACCAGAGGCAATCTATTTGTTGTTTTGCTGAAGATCAAATCCAGGGTCCTTGTACACATTAGGCTCTAGCAGAGCATCATTTTTACCCAAAGATTAGTCTCTTAGACTTGCATATAGCTTATTTTTTTGTTTGAGACCATTAGTTCATCTTTAATTCATGTTCATTAAGATATGAGATAAGGATATAATTATGCTTTTATCTAAATGCATAACCAATAGAATGAAGCCACTGATAAAAGCATGAACATGGGTTTCAATCACACAGTGAGGCCTCCCTCGTATACTGCGACTTGCCTTTGGTGCCTACCCTTTATTTTCATACCAGTATGACACATTGTTTGGTACTACATTTTCATACTTGATATATGGCAACCCCCATACCATTGTTCTTTCTTTTCAAACATTTCTTATCATAACTTAATAATCAGTAAATGAATAAATGTTTTTGACAAAAAGGAATGATCTTAGAAAACAAAGTATAAACTGAGAGAAAAATATATATTTGTGAACATAAAAACATGTAAAATTCCAAAAACAGCATTTCATTTCATCAATTTACTCTTTCCTAGAAGAACAATCAACGTTTGTATGATGTCCCATTTACAAAACAGTTCACATTCATGGTAAGAAAGGGCTACTTTGTCAAAGAAAATATCAGTACATACATTTCAGCTGAGGCTAACACTACAGAGCTAAAATACATTTTAAAAAGCTGGTACTTGAGAAACTAAAGCTTATTCTAAATAAAACAGTAACCTGCTTGTTTTACTCTAAATGCAAACTAAGAGCATAACCATATAATAGCTGTTATGTATTATAATGTAACATTCATTACTTAGGGTATTTCTATTCCTTGAACAAAACATCAAGACAAATGACAAAGAAAACAACATTAACTCACCAAAAGTAACTCATTAAAGAAAAGTATTCTCATTAAAGAAAAATCTCCAGCTTTTCTTGCTGTATGGTTGTGAGTTTCAACTTTGTTAGAGGGTTAACTGACAGAGCATCCTAGTAAACATAAACTTACACTTTTCACTGTAGATGATCTGCACCACTGGGTTAGGGCCGTCATTCTGCGGTACTGGATCTATATCAGCCCATTCTGCCCTGTCCCTGAAAACAGACATGTTCCCCGTAATTAAATTCAAACATGTTAAAAGAAAAACAATTCTAGTGTTGTTGTTTTAAATGGCAACAATCACTCATTCATGCTAGGAACTTACTGAGATCTTCATGTAATTACTGGATTCTTCCAGCCTATCTCTGACACTTTGTTTTACATATCAAACTTTTAAAAGTAAAACAGAAACCATCTTTGAATTAAGAAAAATAAGGGACAGGAGAGATGGCTCAGCAGTTAACAGCACTTGTTGCTTATGAAAAGGGGGCCAGAGTTCAGTTCGAAGCATCCATTGAAGACTTAAAATTCTAATTCTAGTTCCAGGAAATCTGATGCCCTTTTTTGACTTCAAGGGCTCTTGCAGGTACATGAACACAGACATACACTCAGTCACACAGACATACACATAAAATACATATTTTTAAAAAGGTTAATAAATCAACAATTTCAAATATGTGGTGTGACAAAATGTGGCCTTTCAGAAAGTATCCAAGTTCTAACTTAAAAAACAGTCTCATTCATTTAGTAAGATTCTGGAGTTAGAATTTTTAAAAACCTGAATTTTACTAGGAAGTAACATTTTAAACTCCAAGTAGGGCTGGGGATGTATCTCATGAGGTAGAATGCATGCACAAAGTCCTAGGGGTGATGTCCCAACACACACACACACACACACACACACACCACACACAACTCCAGTGTGTGTATTAGTAGTGACTCCAGTGGTTGTTGGCAGAGTGAAGGCCTGAGGTGTGGAAAGATGCCTGCCTAACACGCATGAGGTGTGAGAAGGTTCTGGAATCTGCCAATTGTCTAAGTTGCAATAATAACTTTACAACTTCCTGTGTGACATTAAGAAACATATTATTTAATCTCCCCAGATGTCCGTTTCTTTGTACATAAAATGAAGGTGCTATCACTTTAGAAGGCTATTTTGAGGATGAATAACAAATAACGAGTACTTAAAAAACGTATATCATACTGTAAGCATTCAAACAGGGAATAGTCTCAAAACAAAAGTATGGTGGAAACAACAGACAGACACTTTGGAGATTTCCATGATCTGCTTGGTGTGACCATTCTTTACTTATATTCCTTTTCTCTTCTTTACACTAAACAGCTACTGACAGCAGAGATTTGTGGCATACAGTTAACCTTGTAGTTGTATCCCTTATGTAAGGACACAGGAGAAAGAATGATCTCCTATATGAAACCTATAACCTGAAGAGGGCATGGAAAACATCGCCATTTAGTCGTTCGGAAACCAGACCCAGTCGCCTAAAGTCACAAATCACACAAAAGTTTTGAGAGTCAGGGAACCCCACAACAATTAGCAGTATTTCAACTGCAGAAACCTCTACAAAATGCCTTTCACTCATTCATAAAAGCACAGCAAATGAGCCATCTAAAGGGTCTAGGTAGAACTACAGAAGACAGTTAAGTACTTTTTGACAAGGAGCTAAGGAACACAGACAGGAAAGAACAGAAGGGATGAGCACAGGCGAGGAAAAGGCAAGAAAGTTCTCTCCAGTTAGCAGCAGCCATGGGAAGCCCTGACAGCGTTTTTGAAGATCCAATCTAGCCCTTTCACTCCAACCATCCCGCGCAAGCCATCCAAAGTGCACGGTTCTGAAGACTGGCGGCTATCGCATCGGGACAGCACTGCGGGACCACGGAAGTGTCACCACATCCTAGCTTCAGAAGAGCGCCGCCGCAGCCTGCCCGCACCCAGGGCTGAGCAGACCGGCAGGGCGCCCCCGTCCGCCCGGCTGCGGCGTCGCGCGCACCTCAGCCCCGGCCTCCAGCGCCGCGGCCCGCGGGAGGGCGTTACCTGTACAAGACATAGGTGGGCGAGTCCAGGCTCAGAAACCCGTCGTCCATAGGAGACGCTGCCGCTTCTCCGGCCTCGGCCGCCATCTCTTCTTCCTGCGGCTGCTGCGCTGGCGGCGGGGGAGGCGGCGGCGGCGGCTGCTCTGCCTGCCCGGCCTCGCCGCCTGGCGCAGATTCCCCGACCCCCTCGGTGGCCGCCATCTCGCCTCCGTCCGCAGCAGAGGTGGTGGTGGAGGCCCCGCCCCCTCCGCGGCCCGCCCCGCCCCCGGCGTGGCCTACTTCCGGTTCCTCGGGGCCTACCATAGAGGCGTGGGGTAGAGGGCCCGGCCGGGAGGCTGGCCTGGCCAGTCTATCTACTGTTCTCGCTGCCCGGGTTTCAGGGATTGCAGGTGTTCGTGGAAGCCTTTGCGTGCCTCTTGAGAATTAGTTGCAATTTCCTTCTTTGGGTAACTTTTCTTTATTGATTCGCTTTTGTTTCTTTTTCTACAGTCCGGATGAAACCTAAAGACTTGCACATGCTAGGCATGTGCTCTACCACTGAGCTACATCTCCATTCCCCAGCCGCTCCCTTCCTTTGGACTATTTTTAGGAGTAAGAACTGTGTAAGGCCCACAGCACCTCCCTTCAGGGTTCCACTTTCACCTTGAAAGAGCCTTTATATTCTTTCACAAATTACACTTTTTTCTAGGCTAGGCGTTTATATAATGCACAATTTTTATTAATCCAGGGGTTTTGTCTTTAGAAATTTAGTTTGGGTTCTGTGCAAGTAATACTCATGTATGTTAGTATGTTATAGGAAAGGGAAGCACATTTGTAAATGTCAGAGAATAGCTACATTCAATTAACAAATATGTACCGCCAATTTGGTATCATGTTCACTCGCAGCAGTGCAAAAATCAGTGTGCCTGGTCACAATATATTCTAGGGAGGATTCTTCCATCAGGAACGATCGAGGCACAGTGGAAATAAAAAGAATGGGACTGACGTCTTTAGAAGCATATTGTTCTTTAATTAGAAAGATGAAGGGTGACGGTGGGCCAGAAAAGGGAGCTTCGGTGATTGAATGTTCTATCTGCATGTCTGTTTCCTCCGCGGTCTACAGTGGTAGATCCCAACAGAGATTGGTATGGGATTCTAGCAGAGGTTTTCTGGATCCTAACAGCCCTTAAGTGTTAAAAGTCAAATCAACTTTCCTGTCCTGAGTTTCTCAGCCCACCTGAGGTATTATTAGGCCTTCACTCAGACATTGAGGGTAGATTTAAAAAGGGGAAGGAGGGTTACTCTCTCATTGGCTGCTACCTGTGTGTCCCCAGGATCTAAGATCATAAATTCGGTTGACTTTATGTAGCAGGAGAGTTTTAGCTTCTACTGTGGTGGATCAATTGCAGCCATTCCTAGAGGAACCTTTGAAAACAGTTGATCGGAAGGGTCTATACTGAAGATTAGGGGATCCAGTAGGAGACCTAGCCAGGGTAGCCATTGTCCTAAAGTAGACCCAGTGATGGCCATGACCCGATCCAGGAGGAATTTTCTGTATAATATTTAAAAGACAGGGTAAAAATGTAAGTGTGAGGATGATAGGAAAGGAGTAATCAGGGGGAGGAGCCAGAGTGGGAGGGAACCAACCGCCCCTCCCCCATGATCAAGACCACGCATGCCTAAAGGGTGTTTAAGACCGGCCCATAGACCCACCACACGATTTCTCTCCTGCCTTTCTGAGAGTCACCGGGAGTTGCTTCTGTTTATTAAATCTGGATTTATTAATCCAGTTTGATTTGGCTTACTGCATCAGCGAAAGATAACCAATAACTGGGGGTCCAATACTTACAATAAAGGAAGTTTCCCAAAGGCAACCTTGGTCCTTGTACCACTTGTTTATAAGCACCCCAACATATGTACATATATATGGACATTAACACACACCACACACATACACATGAGAGAAGAAACTGGATGTGATAGTTCTACTATTCATATGACAAAGGACTGAGTCATACAAAAAGAACATTCTTTTTTCTGTTCTGCACTAATGATCAAATACAGGACTTAGAAAGGCTAGTATCTACCATTGCCATTCTATTACAAATTTACACATCCAACTTTGCCAAGATAACCTTAGTTCTTTGGATTCTCCCTCAAGACCCTCTATAGTTTGGGACCTAGGATTGAGTTCCTACCATGTTTTCCAGTGTAAATAAAAGTTCTGTTTATCTGAAATGTAATTCAGCACGTCTATAGCAAAGGAGCTCACCTCTCACCCACACCCTTATCTAACAGTGCCCAAGAGGCACATAGAATTCTAGGGGAAAGCTATGTTGTTTTATTGTTTTTATGTCTGTTATACATAGCCCCATTGCTGCCTCAGCTGTGTCTCCATAGTTTCTGCCTAGCTGAAGCTGCAGCCTGGGGAGCCTTCACATCCCACAGCTGCCATCTCAGCTGCCTCTATGTAGGGAGACAGATGTTATTTTAACTAAGTCTCTATCTTCTTTTAACCAATAAAGACCCAGGAGCCAGATGCTGGGGTGAAAACCTGCTAGCTCAGAGAGGCAGAGAGAGCAGTCAGTTGACCTTCCTCATTCGCAGACATCCCAGAAAGAGAACTCTTTCATTGTCCCAAACCAAAAAGGACCACCTAACTCAAATCCCTTCCTACTATTTCCTGTGTATCCTATCTTCCTGACTCCCTCTTACTATCTATGGCTACTTCCTATCAATTAGTTGCTTGCTCTGCCTCCTGACCAATGATTGATTTATTTAATCCTGTTTACAATAAACAGAAAGCTCTTGGATTAAGGCTGTCACTAGGGCTGTGTCACACCACATGTAGAGGCAGGTTTTTCCAGTAATACAATATCAGGGTTCACAGTGTGATCCAATATCCTGCAGCAGAGTTGCACTTGTTATCTCAAGAGTGGTGATTTCTAAACAACCAAGGCAATGCTGTCCTGTTCTGATGGACGTATGTGGTGATTTTGAAATCACTAACACTACCATGTTTTGAAGCCATTTTGTGTTTGCTTAGGCAGTTCTCAGCATCCACCTTCCTTCCTCCAATGGTCAAATCTGTCTTAGCAACACATTTGAGATTTCCATGGCCTTTATTTACTATGGCCCAGATGTATTAACCAAAATAATTAGTAAACTAAAACAACTAGCAAAGTCTCAAAAACACTGACGTTATATTTGAAATAATTTCTATGCTCTGTGAGAAATAATTGTTTCAAGGGTACTCTGACTTTCATCTAACATTGATGTGAATTATGGTCTTTGTGGTTTTGCCTTTAGAAAACTCTGTATCCCTGAGACTATGTACCAAGAGACTCTGCAGAGGCACAAGCCTGCTCTTGGTCTGACCATCAATAAAAAGGACTTACAACTTTAAACTGGCTTAATCAGCACAGTTGTCAATTCTTGCACAGATGATTTCATTATAGTGTGGATGAGACTGCCCCTTATAGGATCATATGTTTGAATGGGGTGGAGCTGTCTAGGAAGGATTAGGAGGGTCTGGCCTTGTTTCAGTAGGTGTGGCCTTGTTGGTGTTGTGTCATGGGGGAATGGGCTTTGAGGTTTAAAAAAAAAAACCCACACTTGGCCCAGCCAATGTGGCGGTTTGAATGAAAATGGCCCCCATAGGGTGGCACTATTAGGAGGAAGTGTGTCATTGGGGCTGGGCTTTTGAGGTTTGAAGTGTTCAAGCCAGGCCCAGTGTCTTCCTGATGTCTGCTGATCCAAATCCCATATCTCTCTGCTATCTCTCCAGCACCATGCCTACCTGTTGTGCTGCCATGCTTTCTGCCATGACAATAATGGATTGTACCTCTGAGTGTAAGCCAGCCCCAATTAAATGCTGTCCTTTACAGGACTTGCCATAGTCATGGTATATCTTCACAGCAATGGGACATTAACTAAGACAGCTGGTCTTAAGCTTTCTGTCTGCCAGCAACGTGGGGCTCAGACGTGAGCCTTCAGCTACCATTCCAGCACCATGCCTGCCAGCCAGTCACTGTGCATCCTGTCATCATGGTCACGGACTCACTCTGTGAAACTGTAAGCACGCTCCAGTGAAATGCTTCCTTTTGTAAGTTGCCTTGCTCATGGTGCTTCATCACAGCACTGTAAGACAACATATTTACCATTTTGGTGTCTCTCATGGTACATTTCAAAGAGTTGCTAAGAACAATTTTCTCATCGTTGACAAATGAGATTAGAAGGTGGCTCCAAAGGTGCCTTTGAAGGGATTATGTTAAAATCAGAAAAACTAAATTTGTACATGGGAGTTAAGATGGGTCTTTATACAGTAAATGGGTTTTCAGGTTAGATGTTGTGAAAATTACAGGTTTATAGCTGTAAAAACAAAAAACAAAACATAACAAATGTACATTTAGGTCTTAAACATATCTTGTTACTATTTTAACATTTGAGTTTATTGATGTAATCCCAGTGAAGTGAGAAAAACCAATTAATTGTAATCTTGTTCATATTCACCAAGTCTACTCAAAGTGGGGACTACTACATATCTTCTAATTTTGAAGAGAGGCATGTTGCGTCTTTCCATATCCTTATGCTTACATGGCTTGTATCCAGAGTGACATATGATATGCCTTCCTTCCATGTCTTCTAGAACTTTGTCAATCTTCTCCAATATTATAGACTTCCCAGCTGTAGGCTATAACCTGAGGTTCCTGTAGGTCTCTGGCATCATATCTTTGTAGAGACTCTTCTGGGGAGGCTCCAGCAAAGCCCACTCTTCCTGAGTGAAAATGATATGCATATCATCATAGGTCACTGCATTCTGAACTTTGGCTGTTATGCAGATGCTACCTCCTGATGCTCCAGGAAAATTTGCCCTGCTCCTCTCCTGACATTTCCCTACATACTCTTCACATTTTAACATTCTTATTGGGAATCTATCACTATAAATTGCTTTCTTTTTGTTGGCAACCTTTACCACAAATGCAGTTTGTGTTTGAATTCTTTATTTTATGTATGTATGTATGTATGTATGTATGTATGTATGTATGTATTTTGCCTGCAGATGTCTGTCCTGGAATTTGAGTTACAGATGGTTATAAGCTGCCAAGTGGATGCTGGGAATCAAACTTAGGCTCTCTGCAAGAGCAGCTAGTGCTCTTAATGATGGAGTCATCTCTTCAGCCCATGTTGGAACTTTTGATTCACAGCTGTCAAGATTCAAACAAGTGGTATGAGTGGCTCTTGCCAAAAAAATTATGTTAACATAACTCTAAGAAAGAAGAAGCCATGTTTAATTTTTTACTTTTAAGAACTCTGGCCATGGGCAGGATATATACCTC